TTTTTATTATCAACAATCAGCAAATAAGCAGATGTCATTTTGAAATCGTTGTATAATAAAAACGTTTGCGCAATAAAAATGATTCAAATTATGATGAGTGTGGYAWATTCTATTGGCACTTTGTCGTGCGAGCAGATCGAGAAACATCAGCTTTTCGGACAGCTCAGTTTTGATGACACTGTTTCCAAATGTTTTTAAAGCAAACTGTAATAGCTTGCGTTATTTTCCTACTAGCTTTTTACAYTTTTATARCTGTTRCATCCACGCTCCAACTTGTAGACTTTCCTCCAATGGACACGAGCAGTACGCGAAGTACTTATTTCCATACCATCAAAAATAAGAGAGCACAAGGGCGCAAGATGAAAACGACACAAGTTCGCGAGAAAATGGAGTGCGTTCAGATGTGTTCCCTCCTTGCGGATGGMTGYATTGATGTTAACTTTAAAAAGGATTCTAAGGATGGGTTTCACGATTGCGAACTATTAGAGGAAAGACACGTTGATGAGAACGGACAGGATGATGACGATGAACKRTTTGATCACATGGCAATGCTTGTAAGTAGACTATAAAATAAACACTTTTAATGAATAAAACATCTGCATTAGGAATATATATTTGGCCGATGTGACTTTAAACAAAATCAAAATATTATAAAGAATGAATTGTTCATTAGATTTCTTAAACTGACCGGAAAACTAGCGGTTTAACTGTTTGTCGGTGTTGCCATGGAAACGGTAGTAGTRAAATGCCAATTAGCTCACCATATACGGCAATATGTTTGCTGATATTTTGGACGTATATTTCTTAATCGGCGGATTTTACTCCGCTGATGGGTCAACGTCCTCTATTAAACTATTATTGCTTTTTTGGCACATTTTAGTGTTTGTATATTAAAGATTAAGATCGAAATAATGCTGCTTTTAAGTCCGACAGCCTTTCCTTGAACAGCGTGTTTAATCCATGGCTCAAACACGCTAAAAAAATCTTATCTTTGGTAAACTTACGTTTCTAACAGATCCCAAATTTCCCGGACTGCGCAGAGATTTACAAGAAGAATGCGCAATCCAGTGGATTGTATCGCATCAGACCAGTCTCCAATCGGTCGATTACAGCCTATTGTGACATGGATACTAGTGGTGGGGGATGGACCGTTATTCAAAAACGACTRGATGGCTCCGTTGATTTCTACCGTGAATGGGACGACTACAAGARAGGGTTTGGTAACAAGCTTGGAGAGTACTGGTTGGGACTGGACGCCATTCACTCKATGACYTCAGKAGAAGGGTATCAGCTGCGAGTGGACTTGGAGGATTTCGAGGGAAACACGCGCTACGCAGAGTATGACACGTTTATGGTCGATGGCGAAGCAGAGAGATATCGTCTATTTGTTGGGGGATATTCAGGTAACGTACGGTTCAGCAAATGCGGGTATGGAAATCATACCATACCATACCATACCATACTATGTCTTTTTAAAAAAATAAATTAAATTAAAATTTTCCACCACGTATGCACTTAGTTACTTCTGCATGAGACTCTATAGGAGATCACGAAATTTAAAATGATAGAGAGGAGTTACAATCGTTTTACATTAATTACTTTAATTGCATCATTGCTTTGAAATCAAAACGACCGCATCAAATTGAAAGTTAGATATGCGCAATCGTTTTTGCTTATCTTTATTTTCGCCTCAGGTAATGCAAGTGATTCATTGTCATCTCACGACCAACAGTACTTCTCTGCCCGAGACAATGACAACCACGATGATACAGTGGGCTTCTCTTGCTCCAACCGTTACAAAAGTGGCTGGTGGTTCAAGGCATGCCATGCAAGCAATTTAAATGGAATCTATCTCAAGGGTAATCAYACACAAGCTCAAGGTGCGGGCATTAACTGGTATTTTTGGACAGGTCTGCAGTATTCTTTAAGGAAAGCGGAAATGAAGATAAGACCAAAAGACTTTTAATCTAGGAATAGGCAATATAACGTCATTAATCATTCTTAAAAAAACGTTCTCGTTCTCGTTCTCGTTCCCCTTATACGGTCAATGGAATATCCCACTTGAATGTCTTGGAGCCCAGTCCCCTATTGTYTTTCTGCTGACAAAGATATAAACAGGCAAGTCCTCATCGAGAAAACGCATTTGTCTGCTAAGAGTTTAACTCTCCCTTTTTCAAAAGGAAATAGCAAAAAAAAAAAAGAAATTTATAAACTGTAGCTTATATACCAAGTTCTCCTTTTACAATTTTTCATCCAAAAGCTAACTTTGTTAGGTATTTGTTTTTTATTGATGCGAAAAAGTAATCGTTCTGCTTATCGCATTTTTATTGAGATTTTTTATAGCACAAACTGTAAAAATCAACTAGCTTCTAGATCTGAGTGCAATGGATGTAAGTATATAGAATTGGTTGGATGCAATGGCTTAAAACATTTAGATCATGCGGTGTTTATTTTAATTGAGTACATTATATTTTCGTCTCCCTGAGTCGCAAAGTAAAAAGATCACAGACAAAAACGCCATGCCATGTCGTAGGAGTATAGCATTAGCTAATGGACTGAAGAGATGGATTAATAGAATTATTCTCTATAATAGATCATACATGAAACATAAAAAACAACTATGAATAACATTAAAAAGTAATAAAAATCTTCACGTCTTCGCCATATTGTCTGCACTTTTCTTTGTTTTCTTTCAAAAGAAAGATAATTGCCTTTGAGGTTTTCTTCTTGGAAATAAACTGAATAAACCAGATCTTTTAGGAATGCCTTGCATATATTTTGATTTTCTCAGTGTCTACACTGTTTATAATTCATCTAACAATTTCTTTATATATCAGTTTTAGTCATTCTATGTTTATTTCATTCTTTTTTTCCATAGTTCTATTTATTTTTGGGGATATTTCAAATAGCTCCATCCTAAATACTTTTTAAATAGTAACTAAAATAATAGAAAAAAAATGAACCAGAAAATAAAAAAGATCAAAAGCAAGGAAAAACTTAAAGCACAAACACATGTTCGTTAGGCGAAGAAGTTAAATTTGATGATGTGAGGTGAGTTGCCCAGTGTGGGAACCAGAGGCTGGGTTTACTCCTTGTAGTTTATAAACAACAAGAACGAGTAAATCCAGACTCTGGTTCCCAGCGTAAGTTGAGGTTGATTTCCAAAAAAAGACGGACGTTGCAACCACCTAATTCAAATGGCTGTGCTGAACTCAAACTCAAAACTATAAACGTAACATGTATTGCAATTTCTATTAATTCATTGTCATGGGAAAAACACTGTTTTCTTACAGCGCCTGCCGTTGTTATCATCCAAGATGGCCGCTGTGACTAATACCTGTTATTGAAAACGAAGAATTTATTGTTGAAAATGAAATAGCTGTTAAAACACCTTTCATCAGGCATGAATAAAACAAAAGTTGCGCCATACATGTCTCTATTTTGTTATTTATCAGTTGCTATTTGTTCATGTTGCTTTTTATTAGAAGTAACTTGTAGACGTGTAAATCGGCCATGATGACTCATTCAGGAATCCGTTTCATTGTAAAAGAAACTACATGAAAAAATTGAAAATACAACGACGGGTCTTGAGCTTTATCATAAATATTATTCTCAGTGTTGTTTATATTTGTCAATATTTTCATTAGGCTGAATTTCCAGAATTTTAAAAAGCAGATAGAAATAGAACAATGGCAGCTGGCAGGACCTTCAAGTCGTGAAAGTTTGTAGCAATATTAGTAAAACATGCACAACGTGAAGCCAAACTCAATTATTGGTATATCCTGCAGTTTAAGTCATGTATAAGAAAGCTACATTCCTTCATAGATCCTATTGTTGTTGACCAAATCATATATCTTTAATTTGGTTTGCCTATTTACAAGAATCAAAAATCTCATCAATAAGTTCCTAAGTGAAAAGTTCAAAGCGACTCATAAATTTATCAGTATGTCATCAGGGGTCCTGCTAGCGTAATATCCAATCAAACATATCTTCAGGTAAGTATTTAATCTCAATTATGTATTACGTTTAAATTCTATGGTCAAATACATTTGTTTTTTGATACAATATGAACAGCCTCCTACTGTCAATTCTCAGTAATTCAGTCTCTACATTCGTTATAAATTCATAGTGTATAGCTACTCGTTCAGAACATACTGCAAATATACTTAAACCACTACAAGGTCTAAGCTAAAATGCTATTGAAAGAACAGGTTTTTGTTTTTACCTTTCTCATCTTTTTCTTGACGTTTTTTGAGCAATGTTATCAGCTACAAGCCGCGTCCCAAGTGCGTCGTATTCCAGCGTCAATTTTTTTCCCATCCAGTCCCTTTTACACGGTGAAAAGAAATAAGAGACAGCGCCATGGGAAAATGAAAGTTGCCCGAGTACATGATGACATGGCTTGTATTCAGCAGTGTTCTCGTTTGGTAAGTGTTGGCTGTGCTGCCGTAAACTTTAAAAAAGATGTCATCAATAGACTTCATGATTGCGAACTCTTAATGGCAACACAAGGTAACATTGAAGATGAAATACCATTTGAAGACAACCAGGGATTTGACCATTTTGTTCTAAAGGTATAATATTTCTTGTTATATTTTATGTTCTTGTTTTTTTTTAAACTCATTTTTTATTTTTGACTAAGGGAGTGGTCAGTGTCCTCAGTAACAATGCTCAAACTGCATGGTTTTATTTCAAGAATTGCTCAAAGTCCGCGCTTTGTGCAAACTTTCTTACAGTTTTGTTTTTGAGTTGAGTCAGTTATTCCACGTCTTGCGTCCGTCGAGAACCAGTTTGTACCTCTATTGCTTGAAGTGTTTTCACACTCATTCTGCGCTGGTTTTCCTTCTTTCTTATACTGCGATTACATATCGGCGTTACGATAACTCATTTCGAGATGTTTCCAAGTAAACGGGCTAACCATCAGGTGAAAACTCCCTTAGAGAGACTCAGCTCGCATATTCATAATTCAAACCGCCTTTCAAAATGCCCGGAGGCGAGAATAAATCTGAGAAATCTCATTTTATATGCAAGTCTCGTACCTTACAGTTTTGTGAACACGAAATACTTACAAATTTACCATAAACAACCCTTCATTACCTCATCCATATCAGTCTTATGCCTGAACTATCAAGCTATATAAACTACCATTTATCTATTTTGAAAACCAATAGTTTATAATTCATATTAAATTCTTCTCATTTAAGAATCCAACTTTCCGAGACTGTGCGGAAATCATGAAGAAATCGCGAGTTCCCAGCGGATTGTATTCAATCAGACCTTCTGCCAATCTACCACCTATCGAGGTTATGTGTGACATGACAACTGACGGTGGAGGYTGGACAATCATTCAGAATCGACTAGACGGGTCTGTTGATTTCTACCGTGACTGGGCCAACTACAAGAGAGGGTTTGGTAACAAGCCCGGAGAGTACTGGTTGGGATTGGATGCCATTCACTCAATGACRTCACAAGGAGACCAAGAACTTCGAGTCGACTTGGATGATTTTGAGGGAAACACGCGCTACGCGGAGTATGACACGTTTATCGTGGGCGATGAAGGGGACAATTATCGTCTTACTCTTGGAAAATACTCAGGTAAGCACAATGATTCAAAGGAATGCAAAACCTCTTAATTAATGCCTGGTCATTTTAGCATCTGCTGCACGGACTGATACGGGATGGTTTTCTGGGACCAGGGTGCAGTTTGACCAAACACTGGAAAAAATCGCGCGCTTTAAAGGTTGTAAATTTGATGTATATATGATGTAAGTGTCCAAAATGATGTAAATTTGATGTAAATGATGTCCATCATATATACATCATTTTGGACACTTACATCATATTTCCATCAAATTTACARCCTTTATGGCGCGCGATTTTTTCCAGTGAAAGAGGGGATCAACTACACTGAACTGGTCACAAAGGAGATGCAAATTAGAAGAACAAATCAAAATTACAGGGTCCCACGAACTGGACCCACCCTGCTCTGAAAACGACTAAATATTGTAGACAATTGTCAAAAGAAAAGAACACTGCAACAAACGATACGAAACTAAAAAACAAAAACACTGTTTCATTATCSGTAAATCGCGCAGGAACCAGACTGACTAACTTCATTTAAATACAAACGAAAATATCTGTTCCAGGTAATGCTGGTGATTCTCTCAGTCCTTGGCACAACAACATGGCATTTTCAACAAAAGATCGTGACAATGACATCAACAAAGATGAAAACTGCGCAATTGAGAACCATGGAGGCTGGTGGTACGCTGCTTGTCACCAAGTYGACCTAAATGGTYTGTACTTGAATGGKCCGTACAGCGCTGGGGCACCTAAYGGTGTTCATTGGTTGGGACGAGGAAATTCCTTGAAAAGAGCAGTGATGAAAATACGACCGAAAGATTTTTAAACTATTTCTACTTCTTCTCACAGTTATGACAATACATGCATGCAGACTACTATCGAAAGACAGATGAGAGTATCAAAGTCATAGATACCAAAGATTAGATATATGAAACTGAATTCTAGTAATCGAAAGAAAATATGAAAGAGAAGCGTTCAGTGATAGTAATTTCACCTTTCTTTCTGAGTAAATTATACTAAAGTTGCCTCGAAATACATATTACATTTACAGATTTTCAATAAATCTTCATGCAGCCAAAGCCGGTGGGGTTTACTTATTTATTTATTGCGAATCATTCTAACTCTCCACTGATCCCTATCTTCCACATTCCTTATTGTCCGGCTTATTTCAAGAATAGGCTTATACAACAACATTAGTGTCATATGCCCAAATTTGGTTAGACGGAAATCACAGCAAAAACGCTTTCGAAACTCTTGGATGTGTATAAAAGCGAAGCGAATTCCCAATTTTAGCTTCAAAGCAATAGGAAATTTTAGTACCTCAAGTACAGGTATCGTATTATAATTTCTGTCGAATTGAGTAATCACGGAAGCTGTGTGAAATCTCAGACGTCGAAGTCGACAATGCTAACCATCCGAATCATTCTGTTATTGAGTGCTTTAGTAATGGCCGATGCCTGGCCCAAGGATACACCATATACTCCTAAAGGGAAAGGTAGCTCTGTCGTAGAAGACGTCGTCTCCATGATAGAAAGATCGAACATCTTTCCATCCGACAACAARTTCCTTTGTAGAGTGGCCTGGGTTGAGTCGAAGTACGGGACTGCCATAGGCACATACAGACCAGGCTACTATGGAGGAATATGGCAGGTTTGTAACGCGAAATAATTTTAGAGAYTGATGACCAACTCCCTCWTCMCAGATTMTTTACAGGCTGCTTCTATCTCCCTTCTCCTTGTGTTTCCACCCCAGCGCTCCTCATTTGATGGAAGCTTAATAGCTCGAAGTGAATTTTCTATAGTGGGTATACCCTTATAAAACTCTCTTGTCGACAGTCCCAGTGGCTATGAGCCACTCATATTGCAAGAATAAGACATCCAGTATTGTAAAAAGAAAAACAGTATTGACAGTACCCATAGTTGCGCACTAGACTCTCCTATTTTATACAACGATAGGGGCATCTTAGGCTCAGTCTCCAGCCGTCGGGATTTCGTGCGCCCGCGATACTCTCTCCCCTGACGGCTGGGCGCATGGGGTTCAAAACGTGTCGCGCATGTCCGTGACGTTTTTGTGTAATTAGCATATTATGACGTAACGGAAGTGAATTTTTCAGTGAACAGAAGTKTTGAATATCTGACAACAGCCGTAAAGGTTTTGCTACAAGGCGGGAAATTATGTGAATTGAAAACTTCGCAAAGTGGCGATATAATGTAATAGTTAGCGTCTTAAAAAAGAGAAAGGAATGGAAATTACCCCAAGTAAAACATGTGTAGGGTTTAATAATCCAAATGGATATATTATCTGYCAGAAAGACGAGCAAAATACACTAGTGGCGCTGTTTGAAAAATAAGAGATTTGCCCGAGCCAGTAAGGAGAATAACAAGGACATCTTTTCCAAGAACAATCTCTTTAAGAGCCTTTTGCTGTATTTCTCTAAATTCGTCCAAGCTAAACGACTTCAGAGCGTTCAAACAAGTATTTTCAAAGAGAATCTCAAACGACGAATTGTCCGTCATTTGGTAACATTGCGACCACGGCTGCCTGCTAATTTATTAATGATATGCCCCTGAAAATATCGGGGGCCACTCGCTGATTGGTCGAGACTGACAATAGCGAACCCCATGCGCCCAGCCGTCAGGGGAGAGAGTATCGCGGGCGCACGAAATCCCGACGGCTGGAGACTGAGCCTAGGGGCATCTCAGCCCTTTATGATTATGGGTGATGCGTACAACCACATAAGCTTTAAACAATGGGGTATAGGGTTAATAAACATTGCACGCTAAATTCCAGTACTTTGTCAAATGGCGAAAAGTATTAAAAAATGTTAAAATTGCTTTGATAGGTGGATCGGATTGGGTACGCCGATACAAAGATACTGAGTRGTCTACAAAAATATCGCGCTAAAATCCAACAGGAATTCGGCATTAATTGGCAAAACACAAATTGGCAAGACCTAACGAAGCCGCTGTACTCTGGTCTGGCTGCGCGGCTGTTCTTGGTGAAAATACCCGCCGCTATTCCCCCGGCCTTTGATATTACAGCGCAGGCAGCGTATTGGAAGAAGTACTACAACACTGTCGCAGGGAAAGGAACAGTACAGAAGTTTGTAAATGATGTACGAGCTGCAACGGGATGCGCTGTTTAGCAYCATTGGAATTGTCATAAGCAACTTAAAATGACTTTAAATAGGTCGTTTAAAATGTGGATATCGTGCTTTAAGGGATAATTTGTTAATAAATTGTTTGATTGCTTGATTTCACGGGGTAATTTAGGGAGCCTTATGGGATTGACGTTTATGGTACACGACCTCAATACGGGGATGAGCAAAAGAAGGAAATTTGGCCCAGATTTTTGTGAGTTTTGTGGTCCCTTTTATGCACTAGTCAATTCACGCCCCCGGGGATTACCGGGGAATTTATCATTTGAGTGGTGTTTAAATAAGACATTTTCCCCGGTAATCGGGGGCACATTCATTGTTAAAACCCCCGCTCCTGTTGCCCCATCAAACAATTGCCAACATTCGCGCGGGCTACCTGTGTCTTTTGTGGGATTCCTTATTTTCAAGGATGGGAGCTAGGGGACTAGGACAAAATTATAATGGCCGATATGTTGAAAAGCGATTTCTCTGCAAATTCTGTAAGTTTTAGCCATTTTAAAGCACTAAAAGGTGGAAAAAACTTGAAAAAAACTTTCTATCGTACTTCCTTATAARGTAAGATTACCATATATAGTCAGCAAAAGTTTGGCAAACGAATGAATGATTCTCTGAGGCAATTGTTTGATATATTAAGCTTATGTATTTTGGTAGTAGTAAATAACAAAAAAAAAAAACAAATCAATCAAATTTTCTGTGATACACAAGGTTAATTTTTGCACAATCCTGTGTACTCATTTGCGTACTACAYGAGATTAACTGGACGGAGAAAAACATGAGTAATAAGTTTCTTTTAAAAATTTTTCATGCATATAGGGTAGTTTCCAGTCTCATACATGTTCAAACGCGCGTTAAAATCTCCGCTCTTTGTCCCGCTTCGAAAACARTTCATCAAAATCCCGACCCCCCAGGGCAATCTTGCTGTTAAAAGCACGTTAAAAACGTGTCAYGTCCCCGTTCAGTGCCCCGCTAGCGCATTTGACTAGTACATTAGGGTATATACGACGACCCAAAAGCCGTCATTCTAAGATCAACAACCATAACTGCTAATTAGATGATTGATCTCAATACGAGCCTACGGCGTTTCATGCTTGTGCAAAAACACAAATATAATCGGGAAACCTAAACAAAATGACAAGTGATTGGTCCCTCTTAGGGTGAAATTTCAGCACTGCCATGCCCATCAATATCATCTCACAATACAGGTCCCTTTCAGGGATCATTTTCAGAATTTCCGACGAGAACCCCCGCCCCCAGGGCCAGCTACCTTTTTTCTAGCTACAAGGATGACCCTACCCCCATGCAATTAGCAAGCCATTCTACAAGCAAAAACACATTTTAATGGATAGCATTTGCATTTTTTTCTGTAGTTCTAATAAAGGAAAGTGAGAAAATTCATAAACGAYCTTTTTCAAAATAGAATTTATTTTGTGACTTTCATACAAGTTCATATTTTGAAGGACTTATTCTTGGAAAAAGAAAACTCAACCAGTTTTGTAAAACTCCTTTGTTGTGCGGATTGCCTGTGTAAAGGATTTGCCACAATGACKTTTGCTTTGCTGACTTGCGCCATTCATCACCAGTGATGTTAAAAGTGATGAATACTAGTTGTTGAGTAAGAAGAGCCATCATTGACAATATGAAAATCATAGTATATAGGACACTAACAAACATGATGGCATTGCTGTAATAAGAAAAAATGAATATTAGAATAGAATAGAATAGAATAAAATAGAATGGAATGGAATAGAATGGAATAGAATAGAATAGAATAGAATAGAATAGAATAGAATAGAATAGAATAGAATAGAATAGAATAGAATAGAATAGAATAAAATAGAATGGAATGGAATAGAATAGAATAGAATAAAATACAATGGAATGGAATGGAATAGAATGGAATGGAATAGAATAGAATTGAATAGAATAGAATAGAATAGTTTATTTCTATCTTCAATTGTTATTACAATTGTTAGAATAAATAAATTAACAATCAAATGAATAATTCATTAAGCAAATAAATAAACAAACAGAAGCTTATGAAAGACAACAAAACAAATAATCAAATAATTTCGCACACACTTGCATGAGCATTTTTATACAAAAAATAACATTTTGTACTCTTTATGGGAAATTAGCCACAAGATAATGGAATGTCAAATAATAATGGAAGCTCAAAAATTTCATTTGTCTAATGTATTTCATTCCCATTAAAAACAAATATTCAAAGATGGTAAAGATAAAATTAAATACCTTGAATCTTTGTAGACATTAGCACAGTCAAGATACAGAGAACCAGGTGATGACGGACAGACAGTTTTTAGTGAGATAAAAATCCCCCAGAATCCAAAGATAATAAACAGAATTATAGTCAACAGAAACTTGACGTGATTATGATGGCCAATACAACAGTTTGTCCTACAATGTAGTGATCATCATTAATAGACTGAGCTGTCTTGTATTAATTTTTATTTTCTATTTTTAACAATTAGACCACAAAAGATGAGTTGACCACAAGTTGATAGTCCACAAGGCCATCCATACTCACCAAATTTGAGAAAAAGAGCATAACAAACATGAATTCTTTACAACATTTTTCAACTATTTTCACTTCCATGCTACCATGGTCTATCATTAATATACCATAGTTCTGCAGCCAATCAGAATGCTGGATTTGTTCATAGTTTGGTGGATACTAGTGTCTATTATTTATTTATTTATTTAGTATTACCATACTAATGGACTATTGCAAATCCTTCGTTCTGATTGGCTACGCTACTCTGGGTCTATTTTCAGTAGTCCTCGACAAGCGAAAAGTGACAACTTTTTGTGTATTTTTGGCAATAAAAACTTTTAGTTATTTATATATGTCATTCATTTTTTGTCCAACTAGTATGGTACTAGTAATACTAAAACAATTAGATCTCTTGGCCAAGTGGACTATGAGATAATAGCCCATTCGGCTTTCTGCCTCATTGCCTATCAGCTTGTAGTCCACTCGCCCTTGAGGTCTAATTGTTAAATATAGAAATATTGCTACCTATAACCTTGAAAGAGTGGAGGATTGTAATATTTTCAAATCTACTGTACACTAATGTACCAGACTCTCCCTGCCTCCCCTACTAAGGGAGACAAAATAAAGGACATATGGTAGTTTTACCTGTAACTAGGATTACAGTTGTTAAACCACACACTGACAGCATGATATATGCTAATGATTCTTATCACAGTATGAATAACAGTTCACTTACCAAACGCAATGGTGATCAGATCTTGGTACACAATACCCACAGATTCTGAAAATGATATAATGGCTGAAGATGTCAATCAAAGGATAATCATACAGTGAAGAACTTATACAGCTAGATTCACATGAAAAATGGTTTTGTAAGAAATGAATTTTTTATATGCATTATAATTCTACATAAATGACAAAAATAAATTATATTATTTTTGCATAACCCTTTTACATAAAAAGGAACACACACTATTGGCGTCTTTGATAAAAGTATAACATCAAATGTTTCCTTGTATTTCYCGAAAAGATATCTTTATCTTGCTGCTGTTTTTGTTTATTATACCCTTTAGTTAAATACATAATTAATATCAAAAAACYATAGTTAATATGCAAAAAACCAACAATTTGTAGCCTTTCAAAATTCAAATCAACACATGCACATGTCCACTCAAATTTATGTAAAAAACAAAGACTCAAACTTATAGCTTTGACCACATCAATTGKGAAAATGCATTAGGTTTTTTTAGGCCAAAGCAAACAATTTTATTACATGATTTAAATTCATATATATTTTCAGCTGTTGACAGCAGAAAAAATCCCTAGGAATTAAGGAAATGACTAACAATTGGGCACTTCATAGTGCTCTTCAAAAACTAATCAAATTATAAGATAACAGGAAGTGTGATGTATTTTTAGTCTGGTATCTATCTCATTCATCTAAATCCTATTTCTTTCATTTCCCTACCAATTAAAGGTTTCTTTTCATTTAAAAAACTCCCACATAATATACATAAAAGCAGATGGGGAAATATCAATGATATTCGATTATTTACCTGCAATGTTTACGTCTGTCGAATGGTCCGTAAGTACAAAAACAGCATGTCAAGTCTCCAGTTGAATCTTCTATTGAATTCTTGTCAAGTACAGGCGTGATACCATTTTTCATTATCTTAGCTTTTGTAAAACGTTTTATCTTCTCTTTTGAATTGACTACACKATAATACATCCACATAACAGTTAAAAATCCTAACGATAACGCGACATTGTTGAAAATCGATGATTTTGCTGCGATCCTTGTCATATATTGTAAATATATACCAATTATTGATGTAGAGGCCCAACTTACAAAGAACCAAGATTTCTTACGATTCCGCAATGAAAACACATAATAAACTAGTACAAACACCGGTAAATAAACCAGAGATAATACCGTGTATACAAAATCCATAGAAGCGACGTACATTGACGAATAGAGAACCATTACCGGTACTAACACTTCAAAGTCAAGTTTTAAGGCGCCATTGGGCCATGGTATTCGAAGACGGTCAGAAACAACCTTGAAAATAGAGCTCCATTTTTTACTTGAAAAACCGCCACCTTTTAAGCACTGATCCACAGCGTTATCCAACTCGTCACATTCGCAACACAAAGCTAGCAGATGGCTTCGTTCGCCTTTTATGTTGTAGTATTCGCAGCAACATAGCGGTGAAGTGTCATCCATGGTTCAGGATTTCATCCAACTTCTTCTAATTTCTGRTCATGAAGTTGAGGGTAWACAATACGAATTACAATTAAAGAGTACAAAATTTAGATTCAGACGCATGTTAACAGTAATGCATTTCCAAGACGATTGCATTTGTTAAGTACTTTCAAATGAATTATTAGTTTTATAAATATTAACCACACGTAACGARGTTTGTTTGGAGTGAGCAAAATTGTAAGCCAGGGAGGGGAGGTACAAACGAAATACACAGTAATCCCAATCGAGAAGCTTTAGTGAAAAGTTCTATTTTTGATTCAGTTCTTTTTTTGATAAAACTAAAGAGAAATTTTTTGCTGTTTTTTTGCAGCTTTTTTAGGGAAAAGGAAACCCAAAACAATGGCAGGCTGCAAAGGAATAATCAAATTTTCCCTGACCATTATTGAATGGTTGTCTGGAAGACCCCTCTTTATCTTATACATTGTATAAGCAAAAACAATAAAACACTTAAATGTTTTACAAACTAATAATACACTGACACTTCTTTCACACGTTGGTTAAAATAGGTCCAAAGTGTTAAAAAAGTATCTACGAATAGTCACCCATCAGTCATTTTGGTTGCTAYTTAGCCCGAGTGCTAGATGGCACCAAGAACCATATGAAAATAGCTATCTTGCTTTGATGCAAAGGCACYGCTACCTTTCAAAATGGACCAGGGAACTGGGGATTGATGTATTGCTTGGATTCRCCAAGTTGAATGACTCTTGTAAGATCTAATTCAATATTAGTATCAAACCAAATATTGGTCTGAGGTTGACCATAAGCAAACACATGTGAAAATGCACCAATATTCATGAGCTTGCTCATTAGTAGCTTGTGTGAGCCAGGCTCCTTTTAGCCTGCRTAGTGGCTCTTGGGGGACTGGGGATGGGGGACTGGGCAAGATCCGCTACGCAGGCTAGGCTCCTTTAAATTGCTTTGAAAACTTTCAGTGAATATATAGCTCATTAAAATTCTGTACAAGAAAGGAAGTAATGTGTAATGAAGTTGAAAGTTTTATAATAATACAAAATCAAACCACACACAAGATTTCACTATGTGCATTTATATAGTCTTGTACAATAACAAATAATAATTTGAAATTTCTACACATAAAAGACTGACTATGATAAAAGCATTTAATTTACAGCAATCCACTGAACAAAAAACAAAATTGAAAGTAAGAATTTGGCATATTTGTATTCCCTATAAGCAACCATTCAAGCATAGGTTAGAATATATTACAAGTTTTCTTTAAATACTTGGGTGTCAAATGAAAATACAAATCTAATAATTGTCTTTGATAATTTGCATTTACATGAAACACATATATGCTTATATTAGTATTTAAATTATTATTATAGTGGACTGTTGGAATACAAAGGATTCAATGTCCTGATAGTAATAACGTTAAGATGTTAAAATGTTATTGAATTTAGGAAATAAAAGTCAGTCATGATTAAAAACAAAAGTAGGAATATTCATAGGTGCGTGTGAATAGAAAAAATAGCTTACTCCGATTTTACTTTCTCAGAACTGTCACAGTTCATCAACAATTGTACACAAATGCCATAAATACATTGGAGGTTCTATGAAAGTAAAAAAGAGCAAGTCAGTGATGAGCGTGATGTTGATCTTTGTACATAAACAGCCTAAACACTAAAATATACCTGCTCATATACGTCTCCAGTATTCTACAGATGGATTTTGTTACATTCAAACACTCAAAATTTCTGGGAAGTTGTGATTATTCTAAATGATATTATTTACATTTTGTTGTTCTTTGCTGTTCAATATGACAGTTATACATTATACAATCAATTTCAAAGGCAACATTTCAGTAGTTGTTTCTCAAAACTAAAAAAAATCAAGAAACTTGAGCTGAAACAGAAGCCACAGCACCATCAACAACAGATGGTGTTCCACTGCTAGGTGTTCCTGGGTTACTTGTGCCTGCACCACCAGAGTTCTGTTGCTGTGCATGGGGCGGTATTAAAAGAGAATTTAGAGAAGGCTTCAGCGATAATTCTRAAAGTACAAAAGTGTAGACATTAGTGAGATATGAAAATACAAAAACAAGACAGCAGCTCACAGCCAATGCTCACAGCTTAAAGTCACATCAAATTGTGAATTAAGTGTTGTTTGGGTTGGCTSATACCTTAAATTGTACAAAAAAGAAAACAAGAATTTTGTACTCCTTTGCACTACTTTTCGTTTTTAGGAAGCTATTTTTCAGATCAAGAGAATGCATTTTTTTGTCGTCATTGTCAATATATAACCACTTTCATCAACATCATTTTTAACAACAAAAACCTACTCACCTTGAGATGTAAAATTAAAAAGAGGTGGGAGTTCTCTTCCATTGGGTAGTTTAGCCACAGGATCTCTCAGTTCATCAAAAAAGCAGTGCGCACATGACTCAATTGGTTTTAGTCTCCCAGATGGTGTGTACTCTAATAGTCTACTACAAAGGTTAATGGCCTCTGCAGGAGTTTTAGGTCTGAATACCTAGAACACACATAACATTGAGTTAATAAGTATAGCCATGTACAACACTAAAGATTCTAACATTGGAACTAAACACGATGWTTGCTTGTCTCTTGAATAGCATACGTATACAAATCATCTGGATCAAGATTGGTTTTGTTGTTAAATGCACAAATCAAAATGGTCCACTTTCTTTTTGAAAACATGTTTCCAAGGTCACAACTCTTTTTTTTTCTAATGCAAACTTGCTAACTGTGAGCAGTCTTGATATCTATCTTATCACAGTTTGACTAAACATTCTGTAAATCAGAAATTACTGGATCCCAAGTCATAGTTCTTTTTTTTTTTGCGCCAGGTGTAAGTTGTTTCTTACCTTATTCCATGGATGGGGTTTGATTTGTGGGAATTTGAATTCAGTATAATGTGGATTCATCTCTTTGATTTGTTCTCGTGTAGGAGTCCCTAACACCTTGATAATCTCTACAAGTTGATCTACACCACTATCCCCAGGAAAGATGGGCTGGCCTAATAGTAATTCTGCAAGGACACATCCAGCAGACCATACATCTAATACAAGAGAAATAATCATTCAAACAAAGGCAATGCTTTTGGCATTTAAATTGAATGCTTACCAATGTCTGGAGTATAGTCTGTAGCCCCAAATATTAGCTCAGGAGCACGATAATACCTTGAGCATATGTACGAAACATTGGGTTCTCCTTTAACAAGGACTTTGGCACTGAAAAACATAAATAAGAAATATGAGGAAACATTATACAACAGTATTTAAATGAGAATTTACTCTACTCTACTTGTGACCTGATATAATGTGTCTGTTAAAAATCCCAACATTACATAGACATTACATAGATCTAAAATTCTTCCAATACACACAATGTACACATTTCAATCTTAATTTCAAAATTCATTGTTGCTGGAACAGTAAAATAGTGGCTTTAATTTGTGCATTTGCTCACATTTGAACCATGGGAGCAAATTAAACTTGAATGGACAATATTAATCTCATGGCAAAMAAAAATATACATCAAGAGCTGATAAAAAAAACCTTATCAACTACCTAATTTTTTGAAGTACCACTGTAAAGTTAGAATGTACAAACCTTCCAAAGTCACAAAGCTTTAATACAGCTGTCTCTGGATCTAGTAAAAGATTCTGTGGTTTGATATCACGATGACAAATTCCAAGACAATGTATATAAGCCAATGARCGAAACAACTGATACATATACAGCTAAAAAAGATACAAAATAACACTGTTAGTTTGATACAATACTTTTGAAAATATCAAAAACTGCAGTCTTGCCACATGCATTCTGGCCAATATTATAGACTTTACTATAATAATTAGTCCCTACAGACGTAGACCAACATAAAGATTGCAAAAAAAATTGCTCCATTTACTATATATACCAATTTTGGYTATTGTTATAAAATGAAACAATCAATAAAACATTAAAGAGCTTATGGTGTTTCATACATAGTAAAAACATGTACATAAAATATTCACACAAGTCATAGGGAAGATTCTACATTTTTCTTGGAAAATTTTGCAATATCATGAGATATTAAAATCATGAAGAGTGATTGAATATGAAGGCCAATATACCTACTTAAAAATGGATTACTTTATCATTAAATTACTGTGTACATTAAACTGTTTTGATCAAGTAGTCAATATAATTACTATAGTGCTCTCAACAATATTCAAATATTCCTTGAGATAGTCAAAACAACACCACAGTCTGTGTGCATCTTGGTTTTAGAAAACAATATACTTTTTTTTCACTACATTGAATTATAACATGTGCTTTGCCAACACAACTCATTGCAAATATATTCCCACATTAGCACACACAATTCTTAATTTAATAATACGTTAAAATGTTTTACATTGTAGTTTTTACAGTTATGGTTGACTGTTGTATAACAATAAATAAATTAATGTGTTATCTATTTTTCAAAAGAAATCATATAATATGAATATTTTATGTGGCTTGTCCTGAGCATTATTCTAACAAACCTGAACAATGCATAAAAATAGCTATGAATTATGAGTTTTCTTATGAATTTGATAATAAAATTTAGAGATGAAAAGGCTATAAAACTGATTTCATGTAAAGCCAATAAATTTATTCAAACACAATTTAAAYCWTGTTTTGGCAGAAATAATAGAAATTGGACAAACAAAACAAAACATTTAAAGGTTCTCTTTGTTTTGTTTTTATTTTGTTTTTACAATTATAAAGTAAAGTAAAGTTTTATGATTATAAAGTAAAGTGGAAGAATTACAGTCCAAATTTTATGCTCTCCATCCTTGGTACATATAGTTTTGGGTAGCACATTTACCATTTTTATTGCATTCTTGATGCAAATGACTTTACAATAATTGCTATTATTTCACATACAGCACATGAGCAAACTTCCTAAATTAGCTTAACCCTCATAGTTATAAGCTATGTTACTGACTATAGATAGCTACATACATTACCTTTATATATAACATGGGTATTGTCTGTTTGGCTTTACTATAATGACGTGCTACTCTGTACACAGTTTCTGGGATGAAATCCAATACCAGGTTTAAATAGATTTCCTCCTTCTGAAAAGCACARCCAAAGTGTTAATCAATCATTGGGAATTACTCAGCTTTACCTTAAGCACTGCTAATCAAATCAAATATACTTAGAAAGCTCAGATATTATTATCAATAAGGAATGGAAAGAAAAGATGATAAAAAGAAAACAATTTTTTCTAAATGAATAAAGAGAAACCCTGCTAAAGCTGCATGTGTACCTATCTTGAGAAGCAAAAAAAGACAACCATATTTCAATAATTGTTTGTTTACCAGGTAAGTCTAAAAAGAGTATTTCAGTTTTGGGGCATCATTTATTTATTCACATACACAATACCTCACTAATAATACACTTAGGGATAACTTATAATACAATGACCATTATATAAGTTATTCTGTGTTACTATTCATAAATATCACTGTGTTTCATGATTAATCCTACATTGCCCAGTAGTTTGTATTCAATTGAAAGCTACATGACAAATATTTCTTTAGCACATCAAACCAGTTTGAATACRGAGCGCACAACAAAGCTGTACAACATCAAAATCATTGATAACAATCTGTTCTCAAATTCATGTCACTGCATGAGAAAACATTGTTATGCACTTCAGAAATAAACAATACAAATAGTACAATGATTTAATGGTTTCCATTCTGATAAAAAATTAGTTATCACACGCAATTTGAATTTAATCAAGATCAAGTATCAGTCAAGGTTAATCTTCATCATGGAAAGTACAGATAAATATGTATCTTGTCTCCTCTTAGTATAAATCAAAGAGTTAGCATCTCATAATAACAATTTGAAGTGAGAATCAAAGAACAATAAAAGACTTTAAATGGCAGGAAGTATTCTGTGATGATCAATGTGTATATAATTGATTTATCTGACAATGATGTGGATTCAGTCGTGATTTTTGAATTTGATAATGAGGGCTTTATTCTTCCCAAATGAAATGCCAATGGTTGAAATAAATGCTGCTATGCTTCTTCAAGTGGAAATAAATGGACTAGACATGAACCAGTGACCTTTCACAATCTAGAACAACCATATCAACGAAAATAATGTTCAAACAGTACAAAAGCACTTAATAATGTTCRAGTTGTATGAACACAAGGRAAAGTATAAATGTCGACACTGTGCRAAATCATCACACCTAGGTCTTTTTGTTTGAATATCATGTCAATGCAATCAACAAACTGACAAATTTTACCAGGAAATGACAACTTGTAAATATTTCTGAGAATATTTGATTCAATTGTTATCAAACAAAATACAACAATAGACTCCTTGCTGCTAAATGGAATAATGCTCCCTATTCTTGGGTAAAACAAAGAATTTTAGCTCCAATGAGATCAAGTGCTCCAGATAGCTGACATCACATGATCTCTAACTCCTATCACTTTAAGGCAAAGGTTTTTTTCTTTATTTCTAGTTTTTTTTTATTTTATTTGTTTGTTTGATTAGTAACTACAAAAAAACACACCAGCACAAAAGCAAGGATTTTCAAATCACATTATTCTACTTTCTTCATAACTGAACAAAGTGTCAATAAGAATAAATGCACATTGTCACTTCAAACACTTTCGATTGGCTAATGATTATTTTACATCCTAGTAAACACAGTTTTTACATTAATATTATGTTGTCAAATATCAATTCAAGTTGATTGGATGTAATTATCCACTTTTCTTATGAAACCACAAGTGTATAATGAATGTACCATGCTAATATTAAGAGAAAACCAAGCGAACCACATGATGAAATAGTTTGCCATATCTACAACACTTCAGATTACAATATCCCTGTGTTAGGCACGGTGTTTTTATTGCAAAACAGTTGTGGCTTTTGCTCTGCAGGTATTCATGTATTGAGGGTAGACAATGTGGGTTGGTTATAAAATATGTAATCTTTGCAATAAAACTGAATTATGCAGAACAATAAAAACTTAAAGTGATCTCAATAGATTTATTGAAGTGCAAAGTGATGAAAACTCCAGATGAGAGATAAGTTGTACTTCAGAGWCAGAAATAATAAAATCTATGGTTGGAGTTTACATTGTAACTGTTTTTACTGCGACAGAAYGTGCATCAAGGAATAAAATCAGTCTTTGCAAGGGATTCCCTCTAGTGTCATCTATCCTGACAGAAGCAGATAGGCATGAAATGTACTACCAATTATTCAACTCAAAGCTATTAGCTTTGGCAGTCCGAAAAAGAAAAAGAATTGCACAATTATGAAGATTTACTGTATGAACAAAAGAAATCTCTAGACCAAAGAGTAAATATGTTATGCATGTTGTTAAGCAAACTCAAACAAACACACACAAGTTGAAGTACTTCACCAACCAAAAAATTCAGACAGGTCAAGTAACCACACAACARTATCCCACATAGCCATACTGGAATATGTTATTTAACAATACAAGATTTAATCTAATACAAATAAAAAAAAATCAAGTTTATGTTGCTGAATATATCAAGGCAAAAAATATATAAGAATATATGTAAMTTTCGTAATGTTGTTGCTTTTTGCGTGCTTTGATACAATATTTTCTCGTAAATGAATTGACCTTCAAGTGAGTTACTTCAAAGAGTTAGAAACATAAGAACTGCTGAGATAAAAATATGATCTTGGAAGGCTCCAATAAGAGCTTAGTTACAGCATTAATTTTTTTCTGCTCTTCAGAGGACAAAGCCGACATTCAGCTTTGAAAACGTCCAAAACCGATGTAACAGTGGATGTTAACCGTTCTACTTATCTCAGTGGGTTGAAAGTTGAGTTTATTGCATTTCCACGGAAAAGAATAAGGAATTAGTATTTTAGAAACGATCAGAAAGCGAAAAGTTTGCCACGGATGCATACAATAATCATTAGCTTCAGATAAAATGTAAACAATATTCATCAAAATAAATTACGAGACCACGAAGGTTTTTTTTTAACAGCAAGGTTTTTCCTTTTTAAAAATGTGGTTGTGTGATAGGCTTGGAAAAAGGTAAGATCAATCGAAGATTTAGTTTAAGCGGGATTATAAGTATGACCTTGAAAATCAACGGAAGCCAAAAGAACAGACAATTTTAGTTGGCATCGAGTGCTTGCATAGCTAGCTACCTTGCTACATTAAATTTCCCCCAAGCTTATGATATGAAAACCTTGATTGTTTGTCGTTAATCACTGTTAGTACACCCACGCTATACAAGACACTTTCACGTTCTTTCTGGTAAAGCAGTTGTAAATTTCTTTAGAACATTTAAAGATACAACAAGAACCGTCGGCGTTAGCTTCGCCAAGGTGAAACTCTATGATTTTCATGGAGTACTCATCTAAACTTTTTACTTATCTAAACTTACCTTTTCGCCACTAGAATAGAAGAACCATCTTAATCGCACTATGTTGCAATGATCTAGTTTTCTCATGATTTGAAGCTCACGATTCTGCCAAAGCGAATAACAGGTAACACAAATTAGTTGGAAATATTGCTGGTCAAGGAAAACGCGCTGTGGCTTGTAAAAGCTAAATTCACGCGTACCTTAAATCGTTTATCTTGGAGGACTTTCTTTATAGCAACTAGCTCTGATGAATCACACATCCTTGCTTGGTATACAACTCCAAACGAGCCATTTCCGATAACTTTGGTATCGGTGTAGCTGATTTCTTGAGTACGGTCCGGCAGCGACCCAGTAGTTGCAACCACAGTAGTAATCTTGCTTCCGTCTTTATCCCCTTCACGACAAAATATACAAGAACAAATGAGTCTTGTCAGTTATCAAACCACATCAATAAAGAGCATGGACTACATTGTATCGTAGTCTTGAAAGAGAAAAGCGACACTGACGACTACAATTTCGTTATATCACTTACGACTTATTTTCATTCCGGTGAAATTGGGCGAATGGTGTTTTTGGGTTTCGGCAAAAGATGTTGTCCTTGGCCTGTGTGAGCTCATTCTTTGTATGGAAAAGCAACTAGCAGATCAGTGTAGCCGATATGCTTTAGATTACATGTCGGTAAAACGAACATTCATGATGGAGAGTTGCTTTCAAGCCACCTTACACCCAACCAAGACGGAATCAGTTTCGCGCAAAGCTGGCCGCAGAACTGCACGATTCGCGGCTCATTGAGAGGCAGATTTCTCAGATCCTTTCCTTGATATCCCAACTCTATGCCTTGTGAACAAGATCAAAGAAACTACAGTGTGGAGATCGTAAAACTGTAGTGAARACTGCTTGTCGACGAAGAATTGACACTTGAAAAAATCACAATGGCGCTCCGCTAGCTGAGGCATGTGGCACCGGGGTCCCGATTGTCGACCCCCAGCAAAGTTTGCCTAACAGTGAGCCAATAGCAACGGTGACGAAATATCCGAAGAATGACCGAATCAAGCCGACGCCTCATGAATTACTCAATAAATCTTCGTAAAAAAGTCGGGAATTGGTTGRTTTTGGTTTAATCCTTTCGTACATCACGATATCTCCAGGGAACTAAATTCCAGATTTTTTGTATTTCGTATCAGACGATGCTACTTTTTGAAGTATAAGTAAKTCTGACTGGCAAGGCAAATTGGATGAACGACTGTGCACAGTGTGTTCTCGTTATTTGATGAAATGCTGCTTTGCGCGGGAATTTTTGGAATATGAAAGATGGCAGACGACATGTGAGTGATGATGTTCGAGTTTTTGCGTGGTGAAAACTACTAATTTTGCTTTATTCGGTTGTGGTTTCTAGAAATGATGACGACTTGTTTAAAATATTGATAGGTGAGTCATTAATAAGCTATTTTTTCTGCCCAATGGAAAAAGTATCAGGATGATTTTGATGAAAAAGTCTGCAACTACAGAGTAAATTAGCTATTGAATTATTCATATAAGCATCAATATCATCATCAAATATCAACTATCATAATTAGCCATTTACCTCATAAATAATTATTATGAACACTGAAGAGGACAGAAAAACAAGCTCTTGATGTCAAGAATATGATCACCACATGTGATGCAATATTAACCACATGTATTTCCTTGTGAAAGTGATTCTKCTGCTTGGAATGTATTTTTGTATTCAGGGGAAGGGTACAGTATGGTACTGTTAAACTCAATAACATAGAGTGGTAGTACCTTCCCGACAGTAAAGACTATCAATGACAACTTGTCAACACCCCCCAACTGTGAACTGAATAATGTAAACAGAAAAAAAAACAACACTTGCACTATCTAAATTAAGATTGTCAAAGCATTAATAATTGATAATTTTAATTGTTGTTCAAGTTTTTTTCAAATGGTTACCCACAATGCTTTGACAGGTGACCATTTCACAGCAGTAGCTCTGATATCGTTCAATTGTAAAATTGACTATTAATGTCCTTTGTTTGTCATTATATGTCAAAATCRAAGTTTTCTTCTAAAAATATAATGCCTTCTCAGCAAGAAAACAGTTTTCATTATTGATGACTCGGTTGATGATTCTCAAATGTTTTTTTGATTTTACTAAGCAGATCAATTCAGTGCTCATAGAATTTGTGGTTGATGTAATAGAGTTGTATTGTATAAGTGAAATTGTTCAATAATATTCATCATTCTAAGRCTATTCCAGATTTTTGGTCATTTTGAATATCATATTTTTATGATAACTGCATCATATCTTTGGATTATTATTTCCTCCTCATGTACTCATGTACTATATAATTACTACATAGAATCATTACAGGGAGTCTTAAAATAATGTCTTGATATGACAGCATTCTTGYCAGTTCTATTTCAAAGTTACACTGTATTTCAATGATAATATAAATGGGCCACATAAATAGATATTAGTGGTATACAAAAGACAMATAATGCATACACAAATGTTTATGATTATTATTGGCATTTTTAGCTACTGACATACATCTTGGCTACCTTGAGAAAGATCAAGTCAGAGGAAATGACTCAGTGGTTACGTTTGAGGAAATTCTAGAGATTGGCAAAAAGTATAATGTAAGAGTTGAAAAATCTACATGAAAAAATTGAAATTTATAAAAGTAATGAAAGGAACAGTACTAGGCTTGYCAACAGACATTCTTTGCAAATACATAGTATACAAACTACTGCAGTATTTATAGTGTCAAAASTCAGTCAGAAAATAAGAACAGTCAGCAAGAAATTTATATATGGGATTATTGTGTTGTGTTCTTCAGGTTGACTTTATTCTTCTTGGAGGWGATTTATTTCATGAAAACAAGCCATCAAGAAAGACAACMCATGCATGTATGGCACTTCTTAGGAAATATTGCATGGGTGACAAGTCGTGTCAAGTTGAATTTCTTAGTGATCAGTCGATCAACTTTTCAAACAGCAGGTACTAATATCACATCAAAAAARCAAGTAGATGAATGAGAGAATAGATATAAAGTGAGGTAGTGATTGAATGAGAGAGAAAAAAAGAGAAGTGTATGAATTAATTAAAGTGTTATAATCCTAAAGCGCTTTCWGTCTGATCATGAAAAAAACTGAAGTTGATTTACTCAYTGCTTTCCTTTATTTTTTGTCAGCTTGTGCGAAACTAGGCAGTATTTACCCGGTTAATGAAAAATGATTCTATTGATTTTTTTAATGATGAATATGTAGATAAGTGATTGAGTTAATGAATGAAAACAAATAAAATATTGAATGAATGATTAAATGAATAAATAAAAAAATTTGCCATAGCTGTCATAGGTTTAATGTATGTAATTCTGGGYAATATTTTATTCAAATTCAAAGATAAAATTCTTTCTCCAGGTTTCCTGTAGTGAATTATGAAGATCCAAACTTGAATGTTTCTATGCCAGTGTTTTCTATCCATGGTAACCATGATGATCCTGCTGGAGTAAGTAAAGCAATGCTTGACTAAGACTGCAATGTGTCTGGTTTAATACTGTTTGACTTAGATGGCAATAATGTCTGGTTAACTGATTAACTAAGATAGCAATRATTCACAATGTTGTGCCTTAATTTAGCAGTCACCCTCCATGCTGTGTCTGGCAATCCTTCAGCAAGCAAGCAAGCCATTGCTTTGATTTTAACTCTGTTCTAAATTGCACTAGACATCATGTATATGTGGTAATATCAYTAAAGACTATGCTAATATATCTTTAATATTTGTTCTGTATAGGATGGCAATCTGTGTGCTTTAGATTTGCTTAGTGTCTGTGGACTAGTGAACTATTTTGGACGRCCATCTTCTGTTGATGATATAACAGTTTCACCGATACTATTTCAAAAAGGCATATCTAAAATGGCTCTGTATGGATTAGGGTCAGTCAGAGATGAGAGACTCCACAGAACATTTCTTAATCAAAAAGTKAAGATGCTGAGACCAAAAGAAGACCCAGATTCATGGTTTAACTTGCTTGTTCTTCATCAAAACAGGTAATTTACACCAAAATACTTTTTTATAATATATTTTATAAAATTTTTGATATATAACGTGCGCTCTGATTGTCTGACGACCGTGTTTATATCAGAGGACAGAGACACAGCTTACCCACAAAATGTGTTTTTTCCTCGAAAAACACAGAAAAAATTTATAAAAGAACTATAAAACGGTCGCTTGTGTCTCTGTCCTTTGATATAAACACGGTGGGAGTTGAAAAACACTCGAGAAGCAAGAGAAGCACTCTCTACGCTCATGTTTCAAAGCTTACTTCTCTCATGTTTTTCATCTTCAACCGTGTTTATATCAGGGTACATCCAGTTGTCCAATTAGTCAATTAAAAATGAATCAAGAAACCCTCTCAACACTCTACTTTYGCATTGTGTTAAGGGAGTTAAAAATATATTCAGTATCTGTTGACAAACTCATGAAGACACATTACTGTCTTATTTGTCACTTAGAGCAAAACATGGTCCAACTAACTACATCCCAGAGAAGTTCCTAGATCCATTCCTTGACTTAATCTTCTGGGGTCATGAGCATGAGTGCCTTATTGAACCAGTACAATCTGATGATACAAGCCTTCCTTTCTACATCACACAGCCAGGATCATCTGTTGCTACTTCACTGTCAATTGGCGAATCAAAACAAAAGTAGGTTTTACTGTATGTGATTGCTAAGACAGATATCTTTCACAGTAGGGTTGGAAATTACCTTTTAGAGCACAGAGTTTGTAAAAGTTACTTTCATTGTATCGTGGAGATGATGGCATAACTGTACTATAATGAAACTGTGTTTTTATGTCATCATTGTGAGTTTCTTGACTGTTCTATGCCATGCAATTATCTGTTATTTCTCAGATCGTTTTTAGAAACATTTTGAATAATAGATGTGCAACTTTTTGTCATAGAAAAGGAAAAATATGGAATACTACTGTTTGTGGTATTTCCCTCTAACTTTAGTCACTGAGGTATATTTTTATACTAGACATGTTGGAATTCTGGAGGTCAAGTCTGATAAAGCCTTTCAAATCACCAAGGTTCCCCTCACAACAGTCAGGCCATTCTACATGGAAGATATTGTGCTTAGTGAGACTGACTTGGATCCCACAGAAGATCAAAAAGTCATGTCTTTTCTTGCTGATAAGGTAAAGTGTTTTAGTTTTGCAGATTAAGTTTTTGAATCTTTTGAATGGAAAGTTCCCTTAATAATAATTATAAGCAAGATTCTGACTTACTTACACGACTGCTACATTGAATGCTGTATTTGAAGCACAAGAAAAAGCTTTGATATTCAACATTTGCAGCATCTAGGGAGCTACTAAAATTTAAACCATTGTTGGCTACCACCATAACATCTTTGCTGATGCATGTAAACCAGTTTTCGAACCACAGAGCCAACATTTCATCCATTTAATGCTCAAATTACTTCAACTCTTGTTGACTTACAGGTAGAGCAACTGATATTCAAGGCTGAAAGTCAACATACTGGAAATAAAAGGCAACCAAATAAACCTTTGATTAGATTGAAAGTAAGTTGTTCTACATTTCATTCTTTTCAGACATTGATATATCTATTTCTTATACACCACTGGGAGCTTATTGTCTAGCTGACATTGATATATCTATTTAATCATAGATCTGTTTATTTTTCTTAGGTTGACTACAGTGGTGGGTTCAGTTCCTTCAGCACTCAAAGGTTTGGTCAGCAGTTTGTTGACAGAGTAGCAAACCCCAAAGACATAATTCTCTTTTACAGGAAAAAAGAAGTCAAAAAGAGAGGTTAGAATAGTTTGTATTGTTATATTGCTTGTTAATTTACTGTATTATCCACCGTTACCCTCTTGACAATTATGTTTATCTTTAGTGTACATAATTCTTATCATAGATACCCATGTCAGACCAGATGTAGATGACAAAATCTTACATTTGAGACCAGAAGCTCTAGATAATATTCGAATGGAAGACTTGATCAAGGAATATTTGACCTCAAGTGATAACGTAAGTCAATTAAGGATATTACTACTAACCTGAGGTGTTTGGTATATGATTTGTTCATAAAATATGGGCAATGTCCTTTAAGGTTCAGATTTCATTTTAGTTTTTAGATTTCTAGATATCACACATGTCGAACAGGAAAAATAGCTGAAAAGTATCCATGTGGATATTAGCATTTTCCTTTGCATAATGCCATAATCATCTAGAATAATAATTGTGGTGGGCAGCCCAAACTCTCATGTTCACACTTCACTTCAGGCACTGGAACTCTCCATACTCTCTGAAAACAGAATGGCTCAAGCACTGCGTGAGTTTGTTGATAAGGATGAGAATGAAGCTATTGGTACTCTGGTCAACTGGCAGCTAAACCAAGCACAGAAACATCTCAAGCAGCGAAATAACTTGCAAGGYGATGAGATTGAAATTGAAGCAAAAAGGTTTGTTGAAAGAAGAAGGCAACGAGAACAACAAAGCAATGAGGAGGAAGAAGAAGAAGTTAGGAAGGTAAGTGATAAGAGTTTGACACTTATTAGGTATATGATACTTTGTGAAAAGATAGTCTTCATTACAAATGGGCTCTTTGGATATTTATACATACTAGATGAATAACACAGATGAATAAAATATCAGTGGTTATCACAAGGTTAATCACATAACTTAATGGTCAGCCCTGATTAGACTAATACATGTAGCTTATGAATTATTAATTAAATTTTTCAATAAATTAATTTGTAGGTTTTGGCTGAACAATCTAGATCTGTCATCCATGACAATGGGGATGAAAATGATTCTGATGATTCAAACATTAGCGGAACAGCACCTGCAAAACGTGGTATTTAACATTATTGCATTGCTAAAAAACATAAAGTAGACAAATTGATGAGTATCTTCATACCTATTATTATTCAGCCTGTGTAGACAGGCGTTCCTAGCTGCTCAGTGGGAGTTTGGGTCGAGAAACCTGGAAGTAGGAACACCTTGCTATGCAGGCTATTATTRTTCTTCAGAAATGTTTCAAATGATTCCGCATTTCAGGCAGGGGTAGAGGTCGAGGCAAGGGCGAAGCTGCAAGTCAAAGAGGCACCAGAGGCCGAGGGAGTAGGGGTGGACGCGGAAGAGGTGAAGGGCGTGGTAGGGGTACACGTGCACAGTCAACAGCAAGAAAGAAGAACTCCCTCATAACTGACTGTAAGTGTCAGGGCGACGCATGTTAGCCTGTGCATCTGATTTTGCTCAGTTTTATTATTTTTTTGCGTGCGAAAATGTCACTTGCTCTTTTATAGAGCAATTTTTTTCTGGCGCTAATTTTGTTTATACTCTTACTTATTTATCTAATTGAGTGACATATTTTGCAGCATTTTCATTTGGCGCTGGATCAAGTAAACAGAACGCAACAGTAAGTGATTATTTACTTGTCCATCTTTTTACTTTGTTGTTTTTGAGATACCAGTTATATACGACTGTATATTTGGCTATTCATTGCGTTGTGAAGTTATTCGCTTGTTTCTTGATGTCTCTTTGTTTCTTTCCTGTTTTGATAACGAAAATTAACAATCTCAGCCGATTTACGATATCTTGTCATATAGGTGATAGAAAGCTCGGACGRAGAAGATGGTTTTAACAACACTTCCAACCGCAAAACAAGCACCCAGTAAGCGTTATTTTTTAAATCCACCTACACTTTTGCTGAGATCAAATGGGCGCAATCAAGKCTGGGAACTCGATAGAGATTTTGCATTATTACCTGTACGTGAAATCAGTACACTGTAATTAATTAGAGTTTTATTTTCTTTTTCAGGAAAAAAGCACCGATATCAAATTCAAGATCTAAAAAGAACGCATTTAAGTTTGATGTGAGTATCTGTATCTTTAGACGGATAGCCCGTGGGGGGAGGGGGACTCTCTAATAAAAAAGGCTGGGGTCCTCGTCGGAAATTTTGAAAGTGACCCCTAGAAGGGACCTGTACTGTGAGATGATGGGCGTGGCAGTGCTAAAATTTCACCCCTAAGAGGAACCAATCAATAACAGGTCATTTTGTTTTGGTTTCCCAATTTTATTGTGCTTTTGCACAGGCATCAAACTCCGTCGGCTCGTATTGAGATCAATCATCTAATTAGCAGTTGTTATTAACTTTTGATCTTATAATGACGGCTTAGTGTTATCGTAGACCACAAAACTCAGTTGATAGGAATTGTCGTCATTACCACCCTAGGCGGGATGAACACTGATTTCAAACCCTAAAAGGGACGACGAGGATCCCCGCCCTTTTTTATTTTGCACTTTTTGTAGAACGTGTGCTGTTAGTGATGTTATTATTGTTTTCTTACCAGGAGGAAAGTGAGGATTCCGATAATCCCTTTGACTTCCCAGAACCTCGTTCAAAAAAAGCAAGAAGATAGTCGCGTAAGAAGAAAGATAGTACAGTGAATAGAATTGTATAGTCTTCTCTCGCAGGCATGGGAGCGAGGCAAATAACGGAGAAGACTATGAATTGTATTGAAGTGCAGATGATATTTAGGTTTGCTAATGTAATAAACGGTTCATTTAGAGATTGTATTTTCAAAGAAATGTTTTATTTGTAATTAAGATTTTAGATATTTGTTAAACATCAAATAGACTCGGGCATAAAAAAATAAAATAAAGTAAACATTATTAATGGTGGTGAATTAACAACAGTTGTAAACCTTATTTTAACTAGACGCTCTGGGAGCGTGGAGTCGGACTAGCTGCTTGTGAAAAGTGAGAAAGACTGGTTATTACATGGATAAAAATATTTCTTATCTTTTTTTTCCAAAACAGYCGAACTCACGRTSTAATAAGAGCGTCTAGTTCAAAATATGCAAAATTTATTGAGACTTTAAATAAACTTGACCTAAAAGGTCAATGTAATTAACGCGATAAGAACGTGGCTTGCTTTGACTGATAACATCAACTAGCTCAGACAAATGTCTCGCTAAGTGATATATGATATCTTAAACGTTGACCTCTCAGGCAAAGAAAATAAAAACTTTACAAGGAAAAAGATGCCTATAAAATCATTAAATTCGCCTTTCTGTTATTGATAAACAAAGTTTCTTCTTGTTCTAATTTGAAATCTTTGCCCCCACAAGACTGTCTAACACTAGAAAGGATATTGATTCAGTTTTAAAAGCATACAACTCGAAACTCTATGCGATCTGCACATGCGCGTACTTCTAATGCATAGACAGACGCATTCCGATGAGATCACAGATACCACATTTGTAAACGAATAGTTTTTTTGTCATATAAAAGCCAAGTAGCATATAACATTTACTAACGATATTCGTACATCAATACGCTTGAGCTTCCGGTCATGTAATAACACAACCAACCCAATAGTTAATTATTAAATTCTTAACTTCCGGTGGTCCAAACGCGACATGACACATAGATAGATAGATAGATAGATAGATAGATTGACTAAAAGGTAAATTTAAAGTCGGACCGCCTTCGGCTAGTCCGACTAATTAGACTCTCTGAGAACGGTCACACTTGCTCCAAGTTGCCACACGCTCTTAGAGCGCTTGCACGGGCTTCCAACCAGGACCTCATGAACTATCAACTCGTACCACACTCTAGCTAGTCTAACTGTCAAATAGAGCATAAAACGTTTTTCATCTGTTTTTCGKATAAAGCCGGTTTACTCTATGTGATTGACGGGACTGTGGATATACAGTCACCCATGATGCATCCAGTCTGTAATCAACTTGCGCCTTCTTTCTTTTGTCTTGAAAAGCTTCATGGGAAAGAGGCGAGAAAGAGGACGGCTTCTATTGATACCTATCGAGCGTGACAGACTGAGACTAAAGGAGACGTGTCAGTTTCCCCCCAGTAAACATTTCTTCCTTAAGCTTACATTGATACCTATCGAGCGTGAGTAAAAATTTCTAAAAAAGATATGAAGTTCTGTGTGTCATCTCGATTTCTATAAGACAGTGGCCTTCCTGCTAAGGCAAAAATACTTTGATCATTCACAAATAATGATGAACAATAACGCCACTTTCCGATTTCTGAGCAATATCAGGATTTCGAATTTCTGTCGAAGGCAGATTTGCACCTACGTAGCATCAGATTATTAGATTTTAAAAGATCATTTACACAACTATTCATCGTACTGTAAGAGATTTAGTTTAGTTATAATGCTATAATCCACATAGAAAATCAATGAAAAAATTGTAAAAAAAAGCAAATAAAGTAAATGAATATAAATAAATCGATAAAATGAATAATACAACCCTGAAAAAAGAAGAGTACGACCGCATTTGGACTCGAACCCATGATGACAAAAACATCCAAAAAGATTGGGACGATTCCCCCGAGACATTCTGTGAAGCTGAGGCGTCGAATCGACTTACATTCCGGTTAGAGGTTTCGGCTCTTCCATGCTATCCCGATAATTGATCCTAACTTCGCGCTAACTAAAAAGCCAGTGAGGGAGAAGCTATCCGGCCCCTAGACACTGATGGATAACCCCTTGCACTAACTAGGCAACTATCGAAAGTATATTGTCAAATTGGGGTAGTCTATTCGGTGAAAGTGCCAAGTGGTCTATTCTTATGTAAATGAGCGTGGTCCAGTGGCGGATACGCTTAAGGCGCTGTCATTTTAATCTAAGGGASGCGAGATCGAACTGGATTGGGTTCAGATCATTTGTTTCAACTCATTTTTTTCTAAACAGCAATGGTTTTATYTTTGTAATTCAGTCTTTTTCTTATTCTTTTCAATTTTTTTACATTTTTCAATAGGATAATTAACAACTTACACTGGTTGAATTTGTACAATTGTGCGGGTTTCCTGTGTCTTGTCAGCTRTCAACACTCCAGCATCGCAAAAATCTTTTTATCGGATTTGAGTTAGGCAGCTGAAAYATCCCAACATTTTACAAATCCCGAAATATTACGACAAATATTTGCTAATACATACGTGAGAATGTATCATATGTTGACTGACAGTGGAAACGGTCTAAATGTGAAATAACAAATGAATGTACKTCCGCGCTTTCCATATGCATAAAATAAACATACATGTACTATACACATACCGTACAGACTATTCAGTTAAAAGTGACTCAAATTTTAATTTCATTTTCTCAAAATATTTTCCATTCTGTTTTCGCAAATCGTTTATTTTCCATTAATATATATTAATTATCATTTTTTATRCAGCTGTTTGCAATAATTCTGACCCCCCTACACTAATATTCATATATATCAAAGTAGCCTTAGAAATTATGGGATATCAATGCTGATATTTTTTTTAGAAAGTACTCWTTCTGGRCAACTCAAAAAATATATCAGTCATGATATCCCATAATATTWAAGGTCAGTTTGATATATATGAAATATGGCAGAGGKGGTCAGAATTCTTGCAAACAGCTGTACATATTTTCAGGAGACTATTACTAGTAATGGCTGCTGATATTTCTTATATCCATTTCCAGCCTCTCCAGTTTATTCCTATTTCACTAACAGCGAGTCAAGTCAAMAATTTAACAATAAAGTAAAATCAATAGTAAGACATTTGACTTTTTAAGGGACAGTATTAAAGTTAATATCATTTATCATTATTTCAAAATTCTAATATTTCACATTTTTTCATATCAGAAAACGGAAGCTAATGTGACGTAGGGGACCAACTAATTGACCAATACACGGTACCCCCTTTAGCGCGCATCCGGCAAAGTTCAGTCCTTTTTCCCGCTTGCGATTTCAAGAAACATGTCGACCGACGGAAATTATTCACAAACTAGGTAGAAAATGGTGTTATTTCTCTTTATATTTTAKCATATAACTATGCCGTTCCTAAAGATTCATTATTCAAGAACATTCTTGTTCAATTGTAACCCAATTTATTGATTTTAGAAGTACAAAATAAGGCGAAAATGTAGAGCCAATTTGAGTGCTTCGTCGACTCTGTCATGCCTTTATTACCACGTGTTGTGGCCGGTATAAGGCCCAAAACTCGTTAATCCTCGCCTAAAAATTCTAGATGTTATTTTAAAACCCAAATCAACTATGTGTCTTTCAGGAGAGAACCTGAGAAGCATCCAGATGGAATGCAACAGACTGGATTGGGAGACAACGAGGTTGGTTCATTGTGCCATGGCACGCGAAAGTATTCTTCACCATGACTCAGTCCTTTGTAAATTTTCATTGACTCGTTTATCGAACTTTTATCGAATTATTAGACCCATTCTGATGAGGTGGAAGCAATTGAAAACTTTGATGATATGAAGTTAAAAGAAGACCTTCTTCGTGGTATTTATGCTTATGGGTGAGTTCTCGTCAGTGTTCTGTTTCTCTTGCCACCCGGCTGCTTGTAGTAGCATGAGTCATCGTACGAGAATCAAGTGAATCTTGTCTTGATCATTGAAACAACATTGATTTCTGATCTCTTCTCAGTTTTGAAAAGCCATCAGCCATTCAACAGAGAGCAATCGTTCCTTGCTGTAAAGGTTTGTAGTGATTTTGGGGGTTTGAACACCGTTTCTAAGTATCTTTATGATTGTAAAAAATCATCACTTCGTTCACCAAATGAATGAATTTTCAAATGAATTGATATATTCTGGTATTCAAGACAGCATGTAGGTCGTCTTGAGTCTAATAAATCCCCTTTAGTTTATTACAATAATATTTTAAAAGAAGAACTCGTGTTCGTGAACTTGTTGCGCAATAAGTTATATTGATTTTTAAAAAAATGGTCATGAAGGGCTACCTCTTCAAACCTTGCCATGCTATAAAAAATTCAATATTATTATCTAATGCCTTACTGGGAAATTTACTTTGTATAAGTATGTTACCCSAAATAGTGGCTGCTCTTTTGTCTTGACATTGATATTTATTACTTCAGCCTATATGTTATAACAAAGTCTTTACATCAGAAAAATATCATAGATCACACATTTTCGTATGGATAATAAGTTTCATTACTTTAATAAACTCCAAGAATTGAAAGTAGTGTCAGTCACTTTCCATTCAAATTCCTCTACTAAACAATTTTGCTCCCAAAATGGTCGCCCACTGGAAYCTCTGGTGCCAATGGGTAGGCCCTGYTATGTGGGTGGATGAAACTATACACATTGATAAAAAGAAAGTTAATGACAAATGTAGATTGTAGCTGTGGCAGACATGGATAGTGAAACCACATTTGACCGTTATATTTTGATATATGCTAAATAAGACATTTCATACCAAAATCCATGTGTAAAATATAATATACTGTAGGCTTTGTACGAACTATTATAACGATCATATTACTATCTTAGTTACCAAAAGTCTGAGCATCAAAATGAGTATATAAATCTTATGATTTTAACATGTAAAAACATTCTACTGTTATAACACTAAGGGCCACCAGAGGTGGACAGAATGTCTGTATATCAATGTGTATAAGCAATCAATGTTCTATTTTTTTCGAAAATAATAATAGGTCCAAATTTTGTGATGCATCTATTCCCATTTTAAAAATGGTGCGAGTTATCATGTGACAGGGTAGTTCTCGTTTAAAAATTGAATTTTTGAATAAATTGAAAATACTGCTTACCAATACAMAGTTTAAAAGCACCTCAAGTCAATACTTATTATAAAACTTTATCGATTGATGGTGACAATCAGGAATTTCATTAGAAGTTGGCAACCAGCAAACTCCGCCTATCTTGAAAATGACTACTTTTTTCTGATGCTTGTGGGCATTTGTGAGCTACATACCATCGCTTTATTAAAACACTCGACTAATTCCAAATTTAATGAAGCACCTGGATAATATATTTTTCCCTTTTTACATCAGGACATGATGTGATTGCGCAAGCCCAGTCTGGTACTGGTAAAACAGCAACCTTTGCAGTGTCTATCCTTCAGAGTATTGATGTCAATTTTGATGCAACTCAAGCTTTAGTATTAGCCCCAACAAGAGAGCTTGCACAACAGGTATAGTKTTACATCCCAAATTCATCACTACAGTACAAACACTAAAACTGTACAACATAAATACCACTAAATACTGCTAAATTATGCTAATTCTATTTTCTATTGTTTAATTAACTCTTTTTTAGTAATAAATAGTGGAAAGTGTTGCACACATATAATGTCTGCACTCTATTTAGCAATGAATAGTGATTTTGTGTTGAATGTGATTGATAACTTTCCTWTAATATTTTTGAAAAGTATTTTTCAAAATGGACATAAAAGGGAAAGTTCCCTGTCATTACATTGCAATTTCYGGTCACACGACATAGCTGTCACTAACGCAGTTCTATTGTTTTTGTTTATATCCACAGACCCAAAAGGTTGTCTTGGCATTGGGGGACTACATGCATGCCAGGTGCCACGCCTGCATTGGTGGTACCAAAGTTAGTGAGGATATTATGAAATTGGGTCAATATGTTAACCATATTGTTGTTGGCACTCCAGGCAGAGTCCAAGACATGATTACTCGAAATCACCTGAGTATGTAATAGCAATAAGCAATAACAGTTCTGTACAAAGAAATAACAGTACAGAGTCTGTGTGTAAAGATCACAWTATGATATTTCTTTGTACATACTGAATCAGGAGACATTAAGTTGAGAATGAAATGCTAGGGAAGCAAAGTTGACTACAGAAGTGAAAACAAAAAAGGACAACCTTGTCAATATTACAAGAAAAAAAGTCATTTGTTAAAAAAAATTAAAGCGTAAACATTTAAGCTTTATCTAAATTTTCACACATTAACGGATTTCAAACATCTTTAGAACTAACTAATTTCAGACTGAAAGTTAGATGTAAGGGAAAGTCAAAAACACATGAGACTTTTTTCATTTTAAGTTGTATTGCATATGCCAGGGAAATTATTTTAAAAAGAGCTTTATTCCGCTATTCCACAGATACCAATGACATTAAAATGTTTGTCCTTGATGAGGCTGATGAAATGTTGTCAAGAGGATTCAAGGACCAAATCAAAGACATCTTTAGGAAACTCAGGCCAAATGTGCAGGTAGATATTTGATGTAGCAGCAATTACTTTACTAAAAAAATGAGAAAAWGTAGTAGATTGCCTGWAAACCTTGCACTCTAAGGCAGTGATATAAAAAACTAGACGATCATGGATCGCTTACGTGGGCTTCCTGTGACAATGGTGTTTCATTTTCACAATATAGTCTTTGTTTGTAATAAGTCAAGACAGAATTAAGTTAATATGTTATCAATTTATTACATGTACATCATAATTTTTTACCGAACTGAACTCTAAGTAAATTCTTTGGATACCATGTCTTTCTCAGTTTTCCAAAATAACTAGCTCGACTTTATGCTCAAGAGCGTCTATATTATTCAAAATATCTGATAGGTCACATAAACAATAGAAACGGTACAGTCTTGGCAGTATAACTTTGAATAATATTTTGATCATTTTAATCATGTATCTGTATCTTGTGTTTCTGTTCTTTTTTATTTGGTGTTTTTCATTAATTTGTAAATCTGGTGTTCTGTGCCATCATAAAGGTGTACCTTAGCCTTCTAATGACAGTTCATATTTTTGGATTTGTCTAAGTTTTTCAAGTTAAACAATCATCAAAACAAACAATAGAGAATTAAAATGCTTCATACACAATATAGATTTTGTATACAGAGTTCAGTAAAGCTCACACGTGCAGTTTTCAAACACATCGTTAGTTTAGAAAATGGCATCAATATTTTTCAGATGAGGTTTGATATGCTTTCTTCCATCRAATGATTGTTTTCTGTCAAAGTATGAACCTTAAATATCCATGTGATTTCTTATTTTTGAATATTTTGTGTTTGACATCRAACACTTTTGTGACGAAGAAGTAGTGCTCTTCGAGTCGGCGGTAGAAAATGCCCAGTCATTTCTGCACGAATCATCCGCTAATCTTGAATTATATACCTCAATACATGTTTTTTGGATGGTAATCAGTTGATTTTGTAAGATTTTCAGCTCTTTAGAGCATTTTAGCTACATTTGAGAACCATTTAAAACGAGACAACTTTTTGCCACCGTCTGTCAGCCATTTTGTTTTCATTCTGAGACTGCAGTCCATCTGCAACGCAGGCACTACCAAAAAATCGCTGATTGGTTTATTTTGACATCTCCATGGAAACTGAGACTGTAACGCATGCGCTATCGATGCGCTACCAATTTGAAGCGTAATATTCACCACGACGAAAAACCAGTTGCATTTTTAGACGTGTGCTTCCACAGGAAGTAAAAAGTTAGAGGAAGTGCTACTATGTTTTAATAGGATTTAATTCCAATTTAATTCATTTTACCTAATTTGATAAAAAAATATTATCATCAAGAGAATAAACCCTTTTAGTGATCTCTTTTAGGCTGTGTTAGCCTCAAAACCATGTAATAAATTCTTTTATTCACTAACAGCTCGTGCAAATGCAAGAGATCCGTGAATGTAGAAGACAATGGAAATAGTTTGAAATCTCACAAGTTTTATGTAAATTTCTGAATATTTTGCATGCAATTGAGGCTAACACAGCGTAAAAGAGATCACGAAACTCAACTATTGATTTGTTTGTCAATAAATATGAAGTATTTTTAAAAGCATTTTTATTTCAAAACATGATGGTTGCTTTACAAGGATTTTCTCTGTAAGCGTATATATTTTGCTTATAAAAGGGTATCTTCCCTTTTCACCTTGTTTTCTTTGTTCMTTTATGTTGTGCTCTTGACTAGATTGTTCTTGTGGTTTCAGGTTATCCTACTATCTGCTACCATGCCAATAGAAGTTCTTCAAGTCACAAAGGAGTTTATGCGTGATCCACTTAATATTCTTGTGAAGAAGGAGGAACTCACTCTGGAAGGTATCAAGCAGTTTTATGTGGCTGTAGATAAAGAGGTAAGAAAAACCAAGTGAAAAGGAAAAGAGATTCTTCAAGAAATAGATCTGATTAAATAAGTATAAGTATTAAATAAATACTCAAAACACTCAGTTTGCTTAAAAAGGCTGAAGTGCCAAAACGTCCAATAAAGAGAGTTTTTATAGCTTCAAGTTGGTGTTTTGTTCTATTCCATTCTACTTATTAAATAAATATACACCTACTTGCGAAAACGTTGTCATAAAAAAATAGGACATTTGTATTTTAGTAAAAAGAAATAAATTATAAAGACAAAAGAAGGTCACTGAGGCTGAACGCTTTCTTTTGTTTTGTCTTAATTTATTCCTTTTTACTAAATTCGAATGTTCTATTTTCTATGACAACGTTTCTGCAAGTAGGTGTATATATAATTAGCTCTACACTGTGTATTGAGCATTCTTTAATGGGATCAGTAACTTTCTCATATTATTAGTGTAGTATGGTCTTAGGTAGTGTGGGCTGATAGGCCCAGAGGTAAAACAACAATCTTTCTTAAGCAAATTCAGTTGTGTCCATTGACCTAAAAGGAGAACATGATGTCTGAACTGTTTCATCTCTTTTCCACTAAAAGTAAAAGAGCACCATCCTGAATTGAGTCATATATCACATTAATCTTTCATGTTTTTTTTTTTCAGAACTGGAAGTTCGACACTCTGTGTGATTTGTACGAGACTTTGACCATCACACAGGCTGTGATTTTTGTGAATACTAGACGAAAAGTTGACTATTTGTGCAGTCAGATGCATGAGAAAGACTTCACTGTCTCTGCAATGGTAAATACTGCTCGTCTTAACTTCAACTTTAACTTCTTTGCTTTGTGCTACCTGCTATTGATCAATTATTTTTTCACTGCTTTGTGCTACCAGCTATTGRTCAATGATTTTTTCACTGTTTCTTTATAGCATGGGGACATGGACCAAAAGGAAAGAGATGTCATTATGAAGGAGTTTAGATCAGGATCTAGTAGGGTTCTAATCACAACAGATTTATTGGTAGGTATTTTGAGATAAATAAAGAGCTGGTATTGTCTTTATAGTGACACTCAATATGGCATAATAAAGCCTTTGTTATTCATGCACCTACCAGAAGACAATTGGATGTTAGAACAAAGCAACTGGTGAAAAGCCATTCTGATCACGACATGGTTGGCACATTAACATAAGAATGAGTTTGTTGATAAACATTGAGTATTGCTATTTTGAGTAGTTACTAGACTTCCTCCTTGGGAAGCCTGTGGTGGCTAGACAACCTACCCCTCTCCTGCTTTGACAAATTTCTGGATCCATCTCTGTTAAAGCATACTCCTTGACATGTTGTATTTGTTTTATAGTCCCGTGGTATTGATGTCCAACAAGTATCCTTGGTTATCAATTATGATCTTCCCACAAACAGGGAAAGCTACATTCACAGGTAAAGATAAAAACACATTGTTGATTCTTTGTAGTGATGATTTGGCTATCCAGAGTCATTTAATGACCCTTTTTTTTGGTGTTAGAATTGTATTGTGTAATAATGATTGTCAATACCATTCAAACTCCAAGCAGTTCTTGCAATACGCCTTTTTCCCATTCAAAACAAACAACCGTTGATTAAGTTGACAACAGTCTCTCGTGTACAGAGAGCTTACCAAAAACAAAAGAAAGCAAGAACAAATGTTGTCATTACAATAGCACTAAGCTTGTATTCCTAGAAGGTTCATCGTCTTGCTCAGGCTAAGCCTCAAATCGGAGAAGATTCAAATTTCTAGAGCTATTGTAATGTCAACATGTTTTCATACTTTCTTTTGTCCTCTACACAAGTGAGTCTGTTGTCTACTTMAACAGCGGTYGMTCRCATTGARCTGGAAAAAGRCTTATTGTTTTCTAGTTATCATTGTGATAACGTCTTTGCTTGTATCCTCACAGGATTGGACGTGGTGGTCGTTTTGGACGTAAGGGTGTGGCTATCAATTTTGTTACACTTGATGATGTGCGTATATTGAAAGATCTTGAGACATTTTATAATACTCAAATTGAGGAGATGCCACTGAATGTGGCAGACCTAATCTAATTGGAGGTGACATGAAAATATACAAATTGTGCTGAAAAAAAAGAGAAAAAAGAAAAAGCTACTATCAAACGACAAAATCAAGCAACACAAGCAGTGGATAGTAAAAGATGTGGTCTTTATTTGAATCACAGTGCGCATTGGCTGGCAGTGTGAGCACCGTTGATGTTTATGTGGTCATTGACTTAATGTATATCAATAATCATTTGATGTGTGGGCTTCCTGTGGTAATCAAAAAGTTCGCTCCAGACCCCCTCTTTTTATTATGTCACAGGAAGCCCACAGAATAGAAAAAGGAAAATTTCAAATATATGATAGTATGTTTCTCTACGTGTTACATCGTGTTATTATTGCTAAACTTTCAGTATTAATAGGTTCACTAATAAATTTCTGAGATACTTTTTTTCTTTGAATGTGATGCATGAAATGACATTCGAAAGGAAGTTGAAATAAGTAGTCGAAGAAAAACTCACTTAACCAACGCACTGATGGTGTTCAAGTCAGTAAGCGATGTTTATTATTTTGATCTGTTCTMTGGAACATGTGGATGTGAGACAAAAATTTGGTTTTCTATGTTTTTACATGACAAGCTGTACGCTTTCGTTTCCCGTTTTTTTCTGTATTAACACATTGATAACAATGTATTAWCTCAAGGTGCATATGACAATACTTTTTATTTCAAAAATAGCGTTATTAGGTTATCCAAGTGTTATTGGATGAAGGCTTCACAATACTGAGAAAATTCAGGTGCAAAACATTATGCTAATTTGATATAGTCAAAATGTGTATTTTACAAAATTTCAATTTTGTCTTATTTCAGGCACTCTTAAGTAATCTTTCCCAAACTGTAGAAGTTCGTTTTTGGTTACTCAGTAAGATACATTGCACTTAGAAAAGAAGGAAAAATTAAGAGTAATTTGTATAATCAATGAGTACACAMTTTGACGTCAATAATTAGTATAATAATGTTTATTTTAAATTGGAAGTCGGCATTCAATGATCCCTGACCAAATTAGTATTATCGTCATRTTTATTTTTAAATGAATTTCCTGTGATATGCACCTCTATAATTTGCGTGATAAACTGGAAAGAGGAAGCCCAAATAAGGGTAGGGCCGTAGTGGAAAGCAGTGAGGTCTTCTGTCAAACTATTCCATTCTGGGTCATGCAACGTCTTAACACATTTATTGTGTTAACTGGTTCTTAAATAATTTTCAAACTTTAGAAACCGAGCCCCATTACGTGGTTATAACCTGATTTTCATTCGTGTTCCGCTGTGCTGAAGTACCTCTCCCGACTTACTAGTGCTTTTCCGGTCTGCTGAAGGCTTATTACGAGGATCGGAGCGAAAATAAGAAGGGAACTCGAAGTGAAAAGACTARTTTTGATGAACATATCGACTTTCGTGTTGGGGAGGAACCGACTTKACGGCTAAAAATAACAGTTTTGACACGCCCTATCTTATGATAGGCGTAAGTAGTCGCTCCTTTCTACATAAGTACATGCACTTCTTGGTCATCTCGTAAGAAAGCGATTTATGGTCAACACTCGTACACTTAGAAAGTTATTGCACTGTAATGAAGCTGAAGAACAAAGATAACTCGCGTCCTGTGCAACGCGGCAAACAAGACGAGGTTTGTATAGTGGTTGATACCTATCATAAATAGTTTCAYTATCGGAATTGGTGTTATATATCTAACGTAGGGAATTTGATTTTTATTACTCTTACTCTTATCGCAATAATGATGATTAGCAATTATGATCGCAAGTTCAGTTTATGTTCCCAWATAATTCAATATAGTGCATAAACCTAAAAAGGGGTTTTGCTGCGAACGAGCAGTCTGAAGAGAACACCGACCTCATTTTGACATCGTAGAATTAATTTTGAGTTGATTTTTTAGAGAGAGCAACAAAAAGAACAAGATGTTGAATCTCCTAATCAGATTGTTCCAGCAAATTTTGATGAGTCTGGATCTCCTGAAGAGCCAGGAAAATTCAGTGGAGTCTTCAAACAAGTTCTTCGTGCGTTAGATATACTCCAGTCCCTTTGCAAGTTACAAYTAACCCTCAAGTATCAGAAATGGAGGGTTGTCGTCGTCAAAACGGCAAAACTCGGCAAAGTGATCGGTTGTAAGATAACGTGTGATCTTCATAAAGGAAAACTACGTCTAAAATTAGAGACTTCTGCACTCGTTACTGTAATTTCGTCTCTCATCCCTGCACCGATACAAACTGCAGTAACTTCGATCAACACCGCCTTCAAACGTATCCCTTCTGGAAATGCCGTCATTGTGTCTCAACTTTCTGAGAAAATACTTCACTTCATAGCCAAGGCAAAAAGTTCAACAAAAGCAATATCATGTCCTTCAATTCCCAATGCCATTGGCAGCAAAATCGCTGATGACAATCCCGTAGTAAGTCTTGTAGACTCACTTTTATCGCTCAATGTTGTTTTTATTCTTGGGGAAAGCACTGCTATCAAACTCAAGAGGAAGCAAATCCTTGGTTTTGCCCAGACAGGAGATGTTGAGATAGACCTGCGACACGGAATAGAGATCGTCAAACGGCCAAGAAACCTGTTCAGGAGAGAACACATTTCTTTAGCCTTGCTGAAACTGACGGAGTGGACAAGCTCTGAGCGGGAACTGAAGATGACAATTGAAATCATTGAGATATTGAAATACGTCAAGAACTTCCAGTCTCACTAGCAACTCATCGTGCACTTACACTCAGTAGGTTACATATACCTATTTCAAAAAAGGTGTGGCGAATGTCCGGAACGGCGAAGTTGCCCGACCGAAAGTAGTTTTTGCTAATTGATGACAAATAACAACTGATTTATACTGTAAGATAGTCTGTGTGAAACATTGCCTCCATTTAGTCTTCACTTTCTATCCAAGGTGAATCCAATAAGTAACATTTGTCAAAACAGTCTAACCATAGTCCCTTTCGGTCGTACAATCTCCCTTCGACAGTTGCCGTTCGCCGTTCTCCCCGACAACGTTTTTTGAAATAGCCGTGTATGTGGCCCGCAAGTKTTGAGACACTAGTCCAGCTCTGCACACATCCACTGAACGTTTTTAAAGTTTTACTTTTATAAAATATTACTAGCATAAATGAATATATTAAAAACTTGAAATGACAGATAATATAASAAGCTCTGTCGGTGTACAACAATTTGTGGTTGTCGCTGCGGCTAATTTGTTGTCGACGTCATTTAATCCATCCTTTCGTCGTTCTTTCATCTTTTGAGACAAACTTTTCTCTGKTTTGGGATGACTCCATAACAAAACTTTTCTCTGAGAAAGTTTTAACAGGACTAGTAAATGAGTCACACATTTGAATTATGYGACGTTTTGAAATTAGTCCTTAGTACAATGCAAGTAGCAATTTTAAGCAAACATAAAAAATCAAATATAATTACAGCCGACTAAGATGGTTTCGAAAGTGRTTTTGGCAAAATAATATACGAAGGAAATCCGCTAGCTTAGTGTTCCGATGGCAGTCAGTAGCTTTCAAAAAAGGCATAGGACGTCAATTATATAAGCTCTGTAAACCTACGATACATAAAATAAAATTTCTCGTGATACATTTTTCTTGGTTTTTCTTATGTTCTATTATTGTTTGACTTGTTGGTGATTTTACCCCTTGTCCGACTCGTTGTCGTACAACCGGCTGCTCCAGTGATGAAGGGGACCTGGCGAATGGTAAATTCTACGATAAATGCAATATGAAAAGAAAAAATAAAGAATGGAAAAAGGAAAATGTTGCTATGTCGGCTTGATTTCCTCAGCTCTGCGATTATAATCTGATTGGCTGACTCATAACGGCGAACCAAAAGAGATTGAGATCTCGTTTATCTGCGGTCACCCTGTGGTAGACCAACTCGACGACGGTAAAACATCATCTCTCTTTTTAGCCATAACTTTGTACATTTGGAGGAGTTCGTGCTGATTTTATATAATTTCTATTTACAAATATTTTGACGAGCGGTTACAAAATTAAGAATAAGAAAACAAATAGAGGAAAAATAAGAAATTTTCCTCGAGGTGACTTTGTAAAATGCGGTATCCGGAAGCATAGTCATGCGCGGTGGATTGTGTCTTGACAGAGCTCACCATGAAAAACCAATTTACCATATTTTCTGGTAAGAACAGAACTGCAATCAATTTCTCCACATGAAGAAGACCTCCTAGGAATTTTCAAATGTTGAGAGACTAAGGTGATCTTGATTTGTTTGTTAAAAGTCTCCCAGGGAAAGGAAGTGACGTAGAATCCATAGTGGTGGTTGCGCCCAGCTTCATTTACTCTCAAAACACACCACTACCACTACAGGGTGAAGATCGTGTCTCGACTCGATTTACTGCGCTATTGGGAAGTTAGACTAAGCCAAGGATTGACAGATTTTATCTTTCWAAGTAATTCAGTGCCATGATAGAAAATAGCGACACTCATGTTGTTCTGGAGTGAGAAATTCAAGCTGTATTGGAATGGAGTCGAGACGGACTGGTCAAGCCGAAAATGGCCACGCGAATGACTCTCGTTGGCAAGATGACTATGATGAATCAATAATCAACGAGTTATTACAAGGCAGAGAAGATCCTTCGCTTAAAGGTCTTGATATGGGACTCATAAAGCGAGATACATTCGAGAGAACTCGGTCGGCAATGGCGGTAGGTAAAAATGTGAACATTCGAATCCAATCATTGTGTTTCGCAGGCAATACGCCTATTTTRAAGCTCTCTCCCGGYTTTTCGGCGTCTAGGAATTATTTATTTATGCACTGTTTCTATGTACCTAAGGACAGAATAAAAAATACCTAGATTAGAAAGGCAAATGCAATTCCAGCTTTTTCAAGACAGAATAATTTATGTCGTTTTTTTGCCGCGTATTTGACAGTCGTAGATTTCACAATGTGTAAAACAAGTTCACTACCAGTGATATTTGCTGTAATGACTGAAGCTTTCTTGTACACTTGAATTTTAATGGTGTGTTGAAATGAGAATGTCTTGAGGATTCATGTATGGGATTTTCGTGACTTCTCTCGTTCTCATGAGCTGGTAAGTGTTTGGTAATCTTTCACTTCCAAAATGACGCCATACGTTACTACCATACAGTGAAAATTACAGATAAAAATCTCCATAATTTTCACATTCAAATTATCTTTCTGTCATCATGATAATTACTCTGATTTTATAAGTAAATTTACAATATACACATATATAAGTCATTTTTTTACCAAGAATTTTATCTAGTCAATAAAATGGATTTGTCTGTAAATTTTCATTCAGTTGACCACGGAATAATTTTTTTATTGAAGCTTTAGCACCTAAAATAAAATGCTTGAATCACAGAAACATGTCTCCATAAGTTATATTTCATRCATTTTGAAGTAGTTGTTTTTCTCTATTGTGTACTCTGAACTCTTTGTKTTATCCTTTAAAGTGCAAAGAAAAAAATCTATCAAAGACAATAAACATAGCTAAGGTCATAGAACAACACCAGGGACATTAGAATCTCATCATTTCCCACAATTTACTCTCTTTATCACRTTCAAGARGTTTGAGCTTATTTGGGAATGCAGCAATGAGTCTCAATTAATTTTGATTCTTGTTTTTGTGTCAAGTTCTTGAGATTTGKCTAGCACTAAAAGCCTAGATAGACAGTGTAGAAGAATTTGGTATTCATAATTACTTTTTGGCYGGAAAAATAGACAAAAGACTGAACWACAACTGGRCCATCAGAATCACCAAAAAATAATACAATTTATGTTAAAATGAGAGTGATAAAGAATAACTAGAAAATTCTTATTTCTTAGAAGATAGAGCATATAGCTTTAGTAATATTTACTGTGATATACAAGTACAAGTTTGCTTTACAATGAAAATACCAAAAACATTGTGAGAAAATAATCATCATTACAGACAGAATTTATTCATCCTTTGAATAAAGTCTGCTTGAGTTAAGTCTGCTTGATTTTAATTAATTTGCTCAGGTGTTAGACTGTGCRAAATCATCCTTTTTCATCCTCTTTTTCAAAGTGGATTATCAGCCTTAGGAAATAAAGATAATGTCTAATCTGAAGCTGTTTCAAATTCAAATGTCATTCAGAAGATGTTGTCTGAATTAGCTGAGGGTAAATTAGATTAGTAATGAATGCGCATATCAACTTGTCTATCTAGACAAATATGAACATCACACAAAATGTTTCACTTTATGTTTGTGATAAATTCAATAATTGAAAATGTGACAAAAGTATGCTGTTAGCTTTATTTTATTTATGTAGAAAGTTTGTTAGATCCTTAAATGATGCCACATTATTTAAAATTCACCTTTTTGCTCTGTTAAGACAAAGATGAATATATCTCAAGCAATGTTTAACTGTATTCAAGCTGACAACATTTACATGTAACATATCATACTTTTAGGCTATTAACCCAACAATTGCAAGTAAAGTTTTACCCAAGGTATGTGATCACAAAAGAGCCATGATATTGTTAACCTGATTTTCTCATCATTATTTTATCAGATCATTTATTATTATTAGTAATTATTATTGTTATCCTCATTAGTGGCTGCWGCATAAGCAGGGTTTTCCATAGCCTGCAACCTCGTTCCCAAGCCATTATAGGGATAAGGGCCTGGGAACAAGGTTCCATAGCCAGWGTAGCAGCTCCTAGGGGAGGGRGRAAGGGGGAAAAGGGAAGGGGGAGTTGCTAGAAAAAATTCTTCTTTTTTCCASTGAGGACTCTGCATTAGTTGTAGTCCCTCTTAGGTCTTGTCATCATTTATACCATTTTTTCTCCCTTATTTTTTCATCTCTCCCACCCACTCACACAATAACACCATTAATTTAATACCTTAAAATTACTTTTTAAATTAATGATTTAGTCATTCATAATAACTGTAAACTTTTTTCTTAATCATTAATCTCTAGACTGTTAACCAATCTCGTGAAGAAAAAGCAGCCATTTGYATTCAGTCACATGTCAGGGGTTTTCTGGCAAGGCGTCTTTATATCGATCTTCTTTATGAGCAATATGAAAAGGTACACATTAAATGCTCACTAGTAACTTAATGCTGAAGATACTTTTTAATGCTATCTTAATTTTGGACAATATGAAGTTTAGGCTACCATACATAGAATATATAGTGCATGCTACTAGTAACATTRTTTTGGTTTCCCAAGGAGGAGCAGGAAAGACTTGAGAGGGAAAGACAACAAGTTGAGGAAGGAGAACTCCTTGTAGAAAAGTAAGCTCAATTTCTGCTGTAAAGTAACATAGCAAAATGTGAAGGGAATGTGCAATAATTTTATAGTTCTTYGTCTTCTYTGBGTGTCCAAAGAGAGTTTGACTWGTGGTAAGTCTACTTATGACTGCCAATGCTCTTTATTGTTCAMACARTACAAGAAATATTTTTGCAAGACAATACAAAYAACGGATRTATACRAACAAGTCATGTTCAATCAATGTCATTCAAGGAAACTAAGGAGTTCTATAACAATCTAATTCCCACAATTTAAAGCAGATATTCCTTATTGTCTTTCTTATAATTACTTTGATTCTTTTGGTAAAAGTACATTGCCATGACAACAGATGTATTTTAATATTTTTTCAGCTATAGATTACAAACAGAAATGAATGACAATACCTGTATCAGGAGAAATCAAAGAAGAAGTTTGGATTGTACTGCTGTAACGTAAGTACAAGTACATGCATTCATACTGGACAGTAGTCAGCTTCAACTGATATATCTCTTTACTACTGTGACAATTTCTTGGAAGTTTCTTTTGTATTTTACATTGACAAGCTCAAGAAAGCTCTGAGAATTGAAACTTATTTAGTAAAGGCTCCAATATTCTATCTATTATAGTGAAACTAAGTAAATAAACAATGCAATCAAAATAGACTAACAATGCCAGGTTAATTTTCATTAATTAATGCTCACTTGTTTTGTTTAGAATTCAAAGAGCATGGCGAGATTAYAGAAGAAAGAAATATCAAGATAGCATCAAATTACCCATTCAAGCATCAAACCCTTTATCATCAGTAGTTGATAACATAGAAACAAACCTTATGATAAGAACAAATCCTTTTCAAAAAATAAATAATCATGAAGATTATAATGAAGAAGAAGAAGAGGATCAAAATGATATTTTTAATGACAGTCTTGAGCARGCAACTGAGGACCTTCTAAGACCACACCTGTCAGCAACGTCTGATTTTGATTATCATGATAGTGAAATCTCAGAGTATAGTCCAACTGACATWGAYACCATGGAGTTTCCTTCACCCACAACAGACTGGGAATCAATAGAATCTTGTTTAAACTCAAAAGGAGAAAATCARGACAATCAAAACTTGGAATCTTCAGATTTAACTGATAAAAGATTAACAGACTTCAGTATAAAAGCAAGCGACCTCAAAATTTGTTTTGTGGATGATGCRTTAAGTGATGATGGYGATGAAGATGGGTTAGATATCAAAGAATATGTTATAGATAAACAAGAAATTGAAGATGAAGAGAAAAGAGACTCTGGTTGTGTTGCTGGTGATGAGGAGGAAAAGGAATCATTTCGTATTAAGACTGTTAGCCCTGATGAACTTGTTAATACTTCACTGTCTGAGCAAGAGTCTCAGCATGTGATGTTAGAGCTATCAAGACATGAACAAAACCAGGAAAAGAAACTAACTGTACAGGGCTGGACAGTTGAAAAGTTACAAACGCTAATGCTTCATGAGATAAGAGCTCTGARGGAAAACTTATCACAGTTAATACAAGGTAAAAACATGTTTATTTGTATTTGTTGAGCATTATTGTGGGTGATCCCAGGTAACTGTAATGCGAGAGTGCAAGTAAGAAGAGCTATCARTAGGTATAGAGTGTGGACTTAAAAGTAAATTTTGCAATAATSTGAACAACRCAAGGGAAAACAATGGAATTCTCCAGTTTSGAATTCACCAATGCTCTTTGTTAGCCTCATTTGTGTGCAAAATATTCCTTAGTTGTGAGCGTTAAAGTCTGAGATTTCAAATCAATTTTATTGTCTTCACAAATTCCACACATTTTCTCTGTCAATAAGACCAWAGAATATGTTGCTTGGTTTTGAGGCTAACACAGAGCAATTTCAGTTTGGTCTACTATTTTTTAAAGATTTACTGAATGAATGTGCTCAATTGCTGATTTTGTAATTTTTACGATGAAATGTTGTTTACGATTTATATTCAATATTATAAACTAGTGGTGTTGTTATTATGTCTTTATTAGAATTTAACTTCAAGGAAAGCATCTTCGGCTTGGTTTTTGATATCTATTTAGTATTCATTTATCTGTTTGATTTAAATTCTGCAGCACAAAATGAGGTTCTTGTAAGAGAATTGATGATGAGAGATGCACTCCACCTCAAGCAGGATTCTATGTTGTTAGAGGTTGAGGATACAACTAAGTAAGTATTCTTGTTCCTACCAAGTAGATTAGTACAATCCTTCTCTATTTATACTCTTGATTGCACAATAATAGCAACCTTAYGTCGCAAATCAAATCAATAATGATTATTGATTAGAACATTTTACAAGCTGTATTATATGGCTACAGTAATGATAATTTTTATAGCAAATTAACAAAATAAAGAACTTTTAAAAAAAGCTATTGATAAATGAAGCAGTAAATTACTTTATGTTTATTAGTATTATGTTTCGTTATTTTATGTTTTTATGTATTATTTTGGAATKTAATAAATTAATGCATGCAGGATGCAAAAGCACCCATAAAATCAACTAATGCGGCTTGTTAACAATATTTCAGAAATGAGGAACAAGAGAGCACAAGCAGCTGATGCTAATTAAACTCATTAATAAACCACAATATTAGCTGTACATAATAGATTGATTATAATCATTCAATAATTAATTAATTATTATCATTGTATGTTGATGTCTATACCCATACTTTGTAATCTTACCCTCTAATATCAATAAATGATAATAATTTTATGGCCATTTACTTCTGTAAATGTGCCTGTGGGTCCATTTCTTGAAAGTCATTGTTTGTTTTAACACCGATATTAAACCTAAATTGTTATATTTTATAAGAAAATAAACCTTTCTTTAATATTTGTGGTTATGTTGGAAATGTTTCTGGCTATAAAATAACAAAAAAAAAATATTTTGACAACAACTTTACATTTGTCAAAGGCAGCAATATTGTAGTCTGTATGGATGATATATGTCTGAAAAAAGTGTGAATGTTTGAAAAAGGGATGGATGTACCAGGCCTGTAAGCTGTGTCGAAAATCATGGGGTTCATTCCCAAGTAGCACAGACCTTTATCATATGACATTTCACATGTTGCTAATTCAAGTGTTTCATCTCAGTAGAATGCTGAATGCAGGGTAACACACAAATGTTTTTTGTTGTTGTCGAATACAACAAAGGCGCTTTTTGGTCTGTTTGGGAATTACTTGAACCTCCGCAACCTGCAGGCCTGTGAACAGACCAAGGAGTGAATATCTGACAAAATGAATAAGTTATAAAATCAATGATTCATAGATGAATAACATGAAGCACACAGAACAATGAAAAGTCGATTAAAAATGAAAGAATGGATGTAAAGATGAATGAGAGACTACATAATGACAGACATTTTACACTTAACACATCTGATTGAAACTGACTCCCAACCCTCGGGTAATACTGGAAAAGTCACATTTCCTTATTTGMCCTGTTGCCTCCCTGTGGGATGATGTCATTAAAAAAGCRTAACATCCCCTGCTCTAGTGTATAAATTTAATAACATTCCCTAACTTTCATGAAATGACCCAGGCTATGCAACAATCTGTTAACAAGAAAAAATAAAATAAAATTGATTAGTGGTTTTAATCTATAAAATTAATCTGCCTCAGGCGAAGGTCACACATCTCAAGTAAAGGGAAGGTGTATATAACAACAGGGCGTCGTCGTCATACGACATATAACTAACAGAAGATACAGACTACATCGCCTGTAATATAATCATCAATAATACACAATAAACATTTGTAGGAATCTTATAAAATTTGGTAGAATACTAAGCACTTCTAATTAAAGCTTTGTATAGTTGCTCTATAAATACTTTTAACAATATGTACAATAAAAAAATATATTTAAATGCTTGTTAGGATTTGCCTCGTATCAATGAAATATATTAAGATAAACTGTAAAAACTGTCAAATTTGTGTAAAATAGTGTTACAAAAGTAAGTCTTTTTTGTCTAATATTAAAGTATAATTTAATACTTTCATCACCATATTAGAGTGCAAGTCACCTCACATAAGCATGAAACAATTCTTAACTATGTAGTGCTAAATAAGATTTAGTTATCAACTAACTATAAGAATTGAGAACAATGCTACAAAGGAATTTAAATAATTGTCATTGTGTTTATGCTTCGTTGAATTCTTAGTTAGTTGATAACTAAATCTTATTTAGCAATACATATTAAGAATTGTTTCATGCTTATGTGACTTGCACTCAATTAACAATTAATTAACTTAATTAAGTTAATAAAGTGAGACAAGCATAGCTACATAATTGTACAGCCTAATGCTAAGACTACTGTAAAATGTATGTGAAGATTGTCCYAATAAGCTTGCCACACTTAAAAATAATTATTTCTTGGTCTTGTGTAGATCAGCTCAAAAGTTGTATGAGAAGACCCGCAGATCAATCCGAAGATAGTTTTATCTGCATTGTACATATATCTTTTAGTTAGAATATCTTGACTTTCTCTTTCTGAGAGATAATAAAATGTGCATTGCATAGTTATACTTACATTAATTGTTAGGTATTTCATTTTCAGATGAAAATATTACAAAATCAGAAAAATTCTTTTAGATTTATATGAAATTTTATGCACTGTAAAAAGATACTGAATGGCTGGCATTTTGATTTTATAAAGAAATAAGTTATTTTTAATGCTGGAAGTAACTATAAATAGAATACTGTTGTATGATATTATTTGATTGTGATTTTGAAAGTCTGTGACAGGTCACAGAAATTCTATGAAAATGATTGTAAAATATCAACAATGTAATAAAATGAAGATTTAGATCACAGAACTGTTTTTTTTCTTTTTCTTAAAGATAAATTGGTATCTCTTGTATGCATAGTTGTGGGGATTTCCAATATCTGATAAGGTTATGCCTGAATGACCCTGGATAAGATCTTTGTACCCTGGGACAACGGATGTAAATCACAGGGATTCTATGCATGGGCCTTTGCAATCACTTCTTTTGATCTATGTTGGAAGGTGCTTCCTGATTGGTTCACTTGGATGCACAAGGGCCTTTAAAGCAAATTTTAAGCAACTATGAAACAATAATGCAATATTAAATTATTTATTATTTAATAGAAATACTTTCATTTATAATATTTCCTCATTTTGATAAATATTAATACAATACATCTTGTCTGTAATAAAATGTGTAACAAATGTAAATACTGAAAGCCACAGATTGGTATCAACTAAAAATACTCAAGATTTGGTTCTAATAATATAGGCTGCTCTCTAACATATTGTGACCAATGTCAAGGTTAATATTTTGAACCCAACAACTAATATAATGCATTAAAGAAAAAAATATTAAAAAGTGTATGCAAACAATCAGTGCTATTGTGACTACTTTCCCAGAGTATAGAATGGCATTAGACATACAGTCTGGTGCTATTGTGACTACTTTCCCAGAGTATAGAATGGCATTAGACATACAGTCTGGTAATTAGCCTTTGTAATATTGCACATTGATAGGCATACACTCACATGTTTTTTTCCTAATGCAACAAGAACATTATATGAACAAAACAGATTGATCTTTAACTATTTTCTTTTTGATTAATGTTGTTGACACAGTTTTCAGTACATGATTTTCTCCTAAGTGAAAAAATCCAGTCAATTAAAAATATTCCTTTTGTTTTTCAATTTATTTTCTTTACTCTTTTATTTTTCATTTATCTTTCCTGCACTATATCATTTATTTTTGATTCATTCTCATCTTTCTTGGTAAAATACTTTTCACTGGCCATAAGTCTTTTTACATATAAACTGTGTYACTATTTCTGTCCTGGATGGCAATCCTGCTGACATTAATGTCAGAACATTTCAAGAGAACAAGGAAATCATCTCACAAATCCATTAGTGACTTTAGGTCATTGATTCGTTGTCTTCTTCTTTCCTCAGCTGTGGTCCTTTTCTTAAAGGCTTCTGACATGAGCTCTCGTTTCTTCTTCTGTAGGTCTAACATTTTTTCTTCAACAGAGTCTTTAACAATAAACTAAAAAAAAATTACAAAGTCCTCAATTAAGGAAGAATAGATGAATGCTAGTCTACTTCACAGCCTCCCCTTTTGTTGGGCTTCCTGTCCTTTTGGGAGGAACAGGAAGCCCGACAAAAGGGGAGGCTGCAAAGGAGACTAGATGAATGCAATCTAAAGAAATAATGGGAAATAAAGGCAAATATCTACCTTTGTGATGACAACATTCCGTTTCTGTCCAAGACGGTGACACCTGTCAAAACATTGCTCCTCTGCTGCTGGGTTCCAAGCCTAATATACCATTAAAATCACACAATGAAATTAAAACGAGGAATAAAAAGGTATAAAAATGAAGAACCAAGCTAAYAATGRYTCATYATTTTGAAAGAGACAAAAAATCAACTTGCTGGTGTTACAGCTCTTTCATAATTAAATGTAATTGATAATTTGATTGTGATATCTATTGAATGTCTCCTGTCTGTAAGATCACCGATAATAGATTAAACTTTGGACTGATATTGCAAAGGTGATACAGTAACCTTGAAAACGTAGGGTAAGGTATTTGTAGGTAGGTGAATACAGGTAACAGGTTTAAAAACTTGGATAGATTAAAAAAAGAGATCAAACCCTGCAGTAGGTCTTAATTTTAAAATCCTGGCATGAGACTAAAATTCAAAACCTGCATTAAAATAGAAATGTGGTGCAGCCCATTTGTAAATATTAGAAGAGATTTGGCACTYCCTTTGAACCATTCAACATGAAACTTCAGCTGAAAGCATTTGATGCCATATAAAAGACACAAAATTTAGAAAACACGACCATACCTGTACAGTACAGTTTCAGTACAGAATGGTAATGGTATAARAAGGCTTTGCACACTTATGATAAATCTGGTCTGTTGTTGTCTACAGCAATATTATATTCTTACTTTTTGAATTTTATCCTTCACTTACCGGATCAAGCAAGTATACACGACATGCAGCAGTCAGATTTAAACCCACTCCCCCAGCTTTCATAGACAACARGATAATAGTTGGAGAGCCTGGGSTTGAATCACCAAACTCATCAATGACTTGTGCCCTTCTTGCTTGGGACATGGAACCATCAAGGCGAACATAGGAAAAACCTTGAGCTTTGAGGGGGATTTCTACTAGACTGAGGAGGGATGTAAACTGTGAGATGATAATGCTCTTGGCATCCTTGTCTGAAGCTCTTAATTCAATTAATTTGGACATCAAACAGTCAACCTTTGGGAAAGAAAAAAAATGTAATGATGACAAATAATTACTATGGTGACTGCAGTGGTTTTGTCAGCTTTTTCACAGCTTTTGTCATTGCCCACCTTGCTACTTGATTGCCACTTGTCACCATCAGGCTGTGCACTTTCTTCATCTTGTTCAGGAACTTCTACTAACTGTTCCTTTCTGACATCCCCTCGACATAATGGACATCTTGCTTTCTGGTGATCAACACTCTTAATGACGTTCTCAATACAMAGACGACAGAATACATGTGCACAGTGAGTGATAACAGGACTGACTAGTGAGTCAAGGCAGATAGGACACTCYTCATCCACTCCAGTGGACAACACAGCCATTAGAGATGAAATCAACTTCTCACGGAGCTCTTCTGGTGTACCACTATTTAATGATTCTGCACAAATGGAAATTCGTAGAATCAGTATTGTTAGGTTGTACTTTGGTAGTCATAGTTTTGAACACATGTACCAATAAAGAGATCATCATACACAAAAGATGAGAAATCATCTTAAATGGCACTGTATAATCATGGTGATAATCAGATGCTTTTGTCAGAATAGTGTACCATAATGCACCATTACCTGAAACAAGAGCCAAGGCACTGGCACAAAGTCCTGGATGRCAGCATAACTGTCTTAATCTCATTAGAATAGCCAGTACATCAGCATAGTTGTTAAGMACTGTCCCTGATTTCACATATCTGCACATTAAAGTAAGAATTGGAGATTACGCCATCATAATACTTCACATGCAATAATGACACACAACACATTATTTATTGGAGGTATAAGTAGCATAAACAAAGACAGTTTACAATGGTAACAATAATTAAACAATAATAATATAATAATTTAATAATTAATTAAAATATTAAACATAGCTGACAACTTCCAAAAACAAAGATAGATGGTGTACAGTTATCTACTACAGTGTACTTGGTAAGATTCTTGCGCAAGTCAAAATAAACTTCACTCAGTATGTGCTGTTATATGAAGATCATGAAATATTGGCATCTGTATTACTTACTTTCCTACAACAAGTTTGCCTTCACTGGCCATGGAGTCATAGAGTTTTCTTTCTTCAAGTGATAGTTCAACAGGCTGAATATATACATCACGGTCAGGCAGCTCAACTATTGGCTTGTTGTTCACTTTCTGTGTTTTAGTTCGTCGCAGAGCTACAATGTGCATAAGGGTCCGGATACGGCTGTGGAGCAAATTATAGTACAGCTTGTTAACATCATTGTCATGTTAGCCTGCATTGTTGGCAATCTCAGGTTTTAGGGGTGCATATGACCCTTGCATACTACCGTTTATGTTTCATAACTACATAATCATGCCATACTATACATCTCAAAATCAAAAAAATTAGCAAGAACATATACCTCAAAGCATTCTTATCTCCTTGACTTATAGGTCTTTCAATACTTCTCAACCACCACTGACGATCCAAGAAGGGCTCCAACCTCAAGTAGCAAATAATAGACCACAAGTCCTTCATTGAGTTCTGTATGGGTGTTCCAGTTACTACCCATCTACGTTCGGCATCTAAACCATGGACTGCCTTAGTCATCTGAGCTTTAGGGTTTCTTATACAGTGGCCTTCATCAAGTACAATGCGTAACCATTTCACTTCCTTTAATGGTGATTTTCCCTGTGCAATAATCATAAATAATAAATATTTTTTTTAYATAATTCCGAAGGAATATTACAGCTTATTATCTCAGGCAGGTATTATCTGCATTTCTCCTTTGTCTAAGTTTTTTTTTTGCAGATAATATTGTCATATATTGCACTTAGCCTCAAACAACAGTGTTATTAATACTTTACCAAACCTACGGCAATAATAGAATTGATATATAATAACCTACCTTTGCATACTCAGCAGATAATGTCTGATAGGTTGTCAATACAACATCCTGCTCCTCTAGTACCTTTTTATCTTTGGTTCTGTCTTGTCCATAGTAGGTGTAAATATTGATCAGATTGGGATGAACATGGGTGTCAAATTCATTCTGAAACATAATTGTAAACCAAAATAGAATTATTGTATTTCATCAAGACATTGTAAATATAAAAGTAGGTTCCTTTTTTCAAAAATACCATGAATAATACATTAAACATTACCTCCCAGTTGCTAAGCACAGACAATGGACATATCACAAGTGTGGTTCTTGGGCCACTAGTTGATAGGGATGTCCGTTTACTAGTGGTTGGCTGGCTTGCTGCTACTGGTCTTGATGATGCTTTTTTACCAGTCTTGGTAGTTTTGGCAACTGTACATGGCTGTGTTATTACCACATCATGGGTACCTAGTAATAATAAATCAGGTTTTGTTGATTGAAACATGAAATAAATGACTTTGAATTATCAAAGAAATTATAACCTGAAGCTAGCGGCAAACTTGGCAGCGGAGGTGAAACAATWATTTGACAATCACTGTCTTCTTTTTCTTTCACTACAAATAAAACTCAGTCTTATAAATTATGATAAAAAATACACAATCAAACTGAGAGCACTCTACCAATGGAAGACAGCTGAACAATCAATCARCATGTCATTGGTAATTTTATTAGCACACACAAACAAAACAATTGGAATAAACCCAAAGTCTAGAGGAGATATACATAAATGATTATTATGTCAGTGTTGTGTTTTGTGGGGCAATCACTCATAATCACTTGATCATTGGGAAGTTTTTAATAATTGCTGATGATCAATCATGTCATTGGTAATTTTATTGGCACACACAAAGAAAACAATTGGAATAAGCTTGACTTAAAGTATTTCTACCTGTATCATTTGTATCTTTGCTTTCCCTTTGCTTCCCCTTGGATTTCTTTGGTGGAATAGGAGAACCATCATTACAACTATCTTCTTCATCCTCATCGCTACCATACTCCACATATCTCACAGGCTTCTTTCTTGATCTGACATTTTTAAAACAAGATAAAAAAGTTTATTTGTTTTTCTAATGATTTCTAATGACAGTGAATGTAATGACATAACTGATAGCAGTGAACATAGTTTTTAATATCAAAATCATTTTGCAATGAACTGCAAGCAAAAATAGGTGAGTTTGCATGTTGGAATATCAACAAGGTTGTACATTTCTCTAGATGTCATTGCTATATGGTAATAGAATTCAATTTCTTCATAATAAAAACATCATGTCATTAAAATTTAAAAATATATAATACCTTCCAGATCGTCTGACTGTTGTGACATCTGATTGCTGGATGGCATCTTCTACAGGCTTAAAATCAGGATCTTCTTTACTCATCATGACTTGAGTAGAATCATCCATTTCTACATCATCATCTTCATCATCATCACAAAAAGATGCTTCATTTTCATTATCTGAGATTTCCTCTACACTGCTCTCATCACTGYTAACAAGGAAATCCTTTTTCATTTTGTTTTTCTTTCTTGTGGACTTCTTAGAAGCAGCTGCCTTCCTTGGTCTTCTATTTTTTTGCCTCAAAGTCTAGAGGAGATATACATACATCATTATGTCAGTGTTGTGTTTTGTGGAGCAATCACTCATAATCACTTGATCATTGGGAAGTTTTTAAAATATAATTGCTGATGATCAATGACATTTCCAACAATTTGCAATGGTGCAAATATGCATACAGAAATCAGGCCCTCTTYGAGGTCAAACTAATTACATGCTTTAGATAATAAACAACTATGCATGAAGTCAACAAAACACCTCTGAAGAAGAATAGTGCCAGAATCTTACCTTGCTTGTACCTGTACCAGCATCATCTAATGTAGCAAGAGGATTTCCACCATGGAAGTTTGTCAAGATGAGACTAATCATCTGTAGTGTTTTTCCAAGGCCCATGTCATCTGCCAGGATACCTCCCTTTACACATGATGGTTTATTGTTGGTGGCAAAGTTAGTGGCAGAATTGAAGTATTCTTGTCTACCATTTTTTGTTCTTTTTATCCAAAATGGTGGCAAATCTTCATTGTTTTCTTTGGATATCATCCAAGCTAAAGACTGTTTTTGGTGGGGATACAGTTTTGTCCTGATGGCCTTACGAAGGAAAATACATGTATAGTTTAAATATTACAATATGAAAAAGATTATACAAGTAAATAATGAACACTAACCTCTGCTGGTTCTCTTTCTTGAAGTTTATCTTCTTTSTTTTGCTGTTCCTTCATTCTGTCAAATAGTTTATTCAGTTCATTGTGCATCTAGAATATAAGAGACATATTTTATTTAAAGCTTTTTTGTTTGCAGCACGCTTGAGATGGATTAATACTTACCTGATCCTGAGAAATCTTGATAGACTTGGGGATCRGGTATGAGTAATTGGCATAACCTTCACTACCTACTGGTACAGGGGTGTTATCATATGTCTTCATCACAAAACCATGACGACGCATCACCTGGACAACAGTTTCTTGGTTTTCTGGCTTACCCCAGAATGATAAGTCACAWGGCATGGTAAACATGTTATTTTGGCCAAAAGGAACAGTGCTTTTAAATTAAAGAGAAGACAAACAAAGTTGTAAATGGAAAATTATTAATGAAGAAGCACCGCCATGAAGATATCCACCCTCCTACCCACCCCCCTTGTGGCCAAAGATGAAACCAGACACTAGTTTCAGTAAATTACACTTTGCACAGAGTTGAATGCACTTAGAATGCCATTGTATTAACAGTGTTCAGGTAAGTTTTTAAGCTTAAAATATATCTCAATATAAGTTTCAAATATTTGTTGAAGTTGCAATCAAGACACTTCTCACTTCACACAAGTTGTTTGGTTTTGCGCACTTACCCTTCAAGTCTAACCAGTCTTCTGTCGATAACATTTGCTAACGGCATTGCCATAGTCCTCTTGATATGCCCAACTTGAATACCACAGACATTATCCACGCGTATGGCGTTCCTGTCGTAAGGATTGTTGGGCTCTCGATTCAATGACACCATCTCACCTTTGTTGACAGTGCCGTTGTAATAACGAATTCCAACAATTCCTACTCGATATTCACCATAACAGACCTCATGGTCTAACTCATCATCATCGTCAACTATCAAGTGGTAATTTCGTGATGCAAAAGCCATCTTAAAATGTTTTTTTTTTTTTGCTGACTTTCAGGCCATTCACATGCATTCAAGTTCACACTTCTTGAGATAGTAGCGCTCGCGCGAGAGGAAGCGGGACCGAGGCAACGTCGTAGAGCATCATGGGATAAATTTTTCCCGCGCTTTTTTTTTTGAAATGTGCGCGTCGACCCTTTCTATGTGTGTGTACTTTCATCCATAGTTAACTATGGTTCATCGAAGTYCATCAGTTTTATAATGTGAAGAAAAGGCTCCAGATATTAATAGCGGTAAGGGTATATGAAAATAAGTAATCTGTATTATATGAAATCAGAAGTACAGGTTATGTACTTCTGATGAAATGCAATTTCCAAATCTCTACTCAAAGAAGATCCAGTAGATAAAAAGACGATCAGTTTAGATACGTTCGCCACGTACAAATCTTTTCACTATAAGTTACTATTAAAGAAACTAAAAGCATTTGCTATTGAATATTAGCTTTAAATAATCAGTGAAAACAATAACCAATAACAAAMTTTTGTCAAAAAGAGAGTCTAATATTCACCGCTGTAAATTTGCCGAGACGATACATTTTTAAAACTTAAGAGAGGCTTCAAACTCTCGAGTGATAATAATGTCCTAGTTGGTTTCCTGTAACTGCGTCATTTTGAACCTCCCCGCGCGATAGTTCTCATCGTATCAAATTATTCACCCATCCGAAGGTATTTATTGCTGTCAATCAGATGGTTATTTGCTTCATGAAAGTGCGGCGATGAATRAAAAATTGTCATTTGATTCATGCATTGAATTGTGGGAGCTTGAAAACAGACTTCAGTTTACAGACCTTTCTCGTACCGACACAAATATCACTGAGAACGGTTCGGAAGTAATTAAAATTCAAAGCTCAAAACAAATTGCCGTTTCCCGGCCGTGGTTCATACAGATCCCGTAACATTCATAATATGTTTTTCTCGAATTAAACTTCGAGTTGCTGGGACCTAATATGTCATGAATATAAGTTGTTATATTATTAGTCGAGAGAGGAGATGGGTCAACGAGCTTTGCGTAGATCTAGAACGGTKTGTCTCCTTACTCAAATTGCTGATTGTTCCATGGCATTTTATCCACTTAAACACCACTTAGCCACACATAAAGTAAAAAAATAAACTGTGAGTCAGGAAATTTATCAACTTCACAAAATAACCCATATACCAATGACGTTATACCATGCAGGCGTACTGTATGTCCAACTTAAACCGGCCGGATCTACAAATTTTGAAACGAAATAAAACACCAGGATTTGGAGAACACATTTTAAGAGACCATCATTATTCACACACTCAACTAAAGACCAGCCGCTATTTAGAATGCTAATCTATAATTTAAGATCTGAAATGCGCCATTAGCATCCTGTTTTTAATTAAGGTATATTTGCTATAGTTTTGGTGATATACATATTTACAGTCATTTCAAAACGTTGAGTACTGAAACAGTGCATTGCAAGACCGAAATGCATTGTTGATCGTCGTATCAGCACTCTAAAAAGGGAATTTCACTGTTTTCAGGGTAACTATACGATCTTCCCGCCTTCGATGGAAAGCAAGTTCGTTTATCGAATTGTCTTTCACTTACCGTGAAATCCAGAATATAATAGCATCACTTCATTTTGGTAATCATGTAATAGATGCAGTATCGCTGGCAGTACTCAATCAGTTGCTTCTGTACGTCGATTAATTGGTGATGGAAAATGAAAAGATAAAGAGATAAATAATAGTCAGCAAAATACATACTGTAAGTGTAATTAACCTATAATGCCCCCGGCCAATCTAAAGCCGCYTGATTGGCTACTTTGACGTCGAAAACAGTCAAAAGTAGCCCTAGAAAAGTATAAGCGGTTTCAGAGTTTCACAAAGTTATGGTGGTTTTTTTTTAAACATTATATAATACTTTATGCGTATTGAATGCTATTGCTTCTCGCATATTGAAATAAATTGCAAGTTGTCTTGTGCTAGATTCAATGTTTTCAATGCCCAGTATGAGGCTCATCACAGAAGGGTAAAAAACCATTAAGTCTCTACGTGAACGGAATATGAATTTTCCAASGACATAGTAGCTGAATAGTTTTAAAGAAAATTCCCAATCTCAAGAGCACAAGTGAAGAATTCTTATTGCGGCGCGATACAGCCGCCGGGTCCCCAGTGCTTTTTCACCGCCACGCAGTGACAGAAGCCACTTATCTAYATTTAAAGTTGTCCAACTTGCTTTAAGTCACACGCTACGAGTAAACAAAAATTCCGAATAATCCAGACTTAATCTTTAAAACGCTTCCATCATTAGCACAAAGGTCACGAAATGGTACTCGAGAAAATCCTAACCAACAGACGAATCAGAGAATGACAGAATGCAAATTCAAATGAGTGCTATTTTCTTCACCACGCGTTTAATGAATACCTATTGAAATCAGAAAATAAGSTAGATAAATTTGGTTAAATGTTTATTATAGTTTGCGACAAGAAAACCGGAGATGCAAACAAAATGAAATTTTTTGATGACTTTTCTCTTTCACACCTGCCCATTTTTCGATTACATACATGACGTCACAAGTTAAATATCAACAGACCGACCTCATAGTGCGCAAGTCCAAGAACCACTATCAACCAAGAGCAGCTTTTTGTGGCCATCGAATCTATGTTTGTGAGCAATGAAGTAATATTTTCGACGCAACTAGAGTATATTGCATGAGAATAGACTGTTTGACCTGCTCTGAGACCGTTGTGGTTAGCGATCGATTGGATTAGAGGGCTGTAGTTTGTTAACTCGCTCTTGGAAGGACAGTTTTCACGCCGTCTCCGTTCCCTCACACTCTGGAAACGCTGAAACTGTCTCAATAAAGTTTTGAATGAAAATACGTGGTATTTTGCACAATGGAAAACAAGGCTAAAGAAAGTCAAACTGATGAAGCAGCAAAGAGAACAGGAACTCGGTAGGGKTAAAGATTTGCATGAAACAAGTTGTGTTTGTTTTGCTGTAGTGTTCGACTCTTGTTGTTCAAAGCTGAATGTGAGGCATAACCAGACGATGTGGGTTTTTCCACAATATTAAGCCACCTTCCACAGCCAATGCCTATTAAGCTTTGTATTCATATTATAATCTTTGCAGCGTAATGCGGCTAGCGATTTTATTTAATATGAGATAGTCAACTTGAAGAAATAATTTTAGGGATTCTCACTCCTAATTCTCATATTTAACTTGACATTTCTGTCTTTGCAGCGTGTTCAAAAAAACGTCTCCAAGTGGAAAGGTATGTTTGATACTTTTTTGCTTTATGTTATTRTGAAAATTAATCTTCCTTTATGCACCATCCGCCTTGGGTGTTGGCATCAGTACAACTTTCAATTTGGGTTTGTCTTTCATTTTTGGATGAATTTTGACCTGATTTCTTGCGGCCTTAGCAGGTTGAAAATCTTGTGTTCAAAAACCCTTTGTTCGGACCTTTTCATCTCAGACCAATATTTTAAATTTTAAAGAGATTTATAAGTTATTATTTCTTCTTTATTAAATACTTTTTGCACGTGTAAATCTTTTCTCTGGTAAATCGAATAAAGTCACCTTTTTATCACGTTTCGAATATAACGTTTGACTTTGGGTTTTTTATACATAATTTGCCTGTTTGTTTTACACGTTATCTTTAAGCTAGAATGCACTCCAACTGCAGTTACTTATAAGAATCTAAATTAGGCTATTTGAATAATTATTCATTCTCTGAGTAAAAACAACTGTTGTTTTCCGTACCAAATATCCTTTACATTCATTCAGAATATTACAATAAATTTTATTGCATCGTTAAAATTCCAATAGAAGGTATTGAATAAATTTGACTTGGCAGTATTATGTATAAAGTGAAGTGTATACTTAAGGGTAAAAGTGTTGATTTACTGAAAAACCTTGTACTAATATTGGCTCAGTAATAATACATCAATCTATCTTCTTATAGGCTTAATCCTAGGGCTAATGACTCCTTTGTTTTGATTGTGTTTCTCTAAAGTTATCTGAATTCTCTCTGGCATTGTGATAACCTAGAAATTGAGTTTATTGGAGTCAGAAATTGATAGTCTAGAGACTTGACTTGACCTTTAATGGAAAGTAGCAGACTGAACCTTTTATAATAAACATCAAATCAATATACTAGCTTTGCTCACATTGCATGAGATATTTGAGAAACGTTTTGAATTTAGGTGTTGCAAGCATATTTCAGTTATCACCTCCTTTGAATTTGGAATAACTCCATCATGATTGCTTTATTCCTTGCAAAAATGTTTCATGAATATATATCTCTAATTACAAAGTCTCAGACTGTCTGCTTTTACAGGTCTATAAATTATGTACAATATTTGTAATCATAATTATTATTATTACTATTGCAATAGTTATTATTTTAGACACTGGCAATTTGCATGTTAGTGATATTGTTTTACGGCTTARCACTGTAACTGCATGGAAATTGAACATCAAAATGTTGATGTGTATTAATGTCTGCATATTCCATTTAATTAGCCATTAAAATTTTAAATTAGAATGACAGAATACATCAAGTAAAGCCTATAAGTACTGTTATTTGTTCAATATGCTAATTTTTATTTCTTTGTTYAAATAATACTATTTTGCACTATGTTGTTTAATTCTTTAGTAGTGCATGCTTTCATTGATTGCATTTATTTAATTATTGTTTATTTATCTATCTAGTTATTTATTATATGTTAATTCTGATTCATGTTAATTGTGATTGTTTTATACATGAGATGGTTGGAAACAGTAGATACATTAAAGACTTTACATCTTTGAAATATTATTAAAATAATCCTCTTACATATTTTCAATCAAGTTTTCTTGACATATTTCCTTTCGCATGTGAAAACATTCAAGTACATTGTTATTTCACTTTATATAATGACTGCATAGTTTTTTCTATTTCATGGTGATCCTCTTTTAACTCATTATCCTTTGTAAATTATCAGCTGTTCCTTGTCGTGCATAAATTGATTAGAACACCATATTGAAAACAAAACAGTTTTATTCCCTCTCATCTATTTTCATGATTTTGTGTTTTGACATGTAATTTAAAACCTCTTCAAAATTATTAGCATTTTAAAAGGTATTCCTCATTTTTTTTGACACAACAGAACAACTTACCGAGATYCATTTGCTAAAATAGCATAAATCATTTTAGAGAACCGACAATATGTCAAAATCCAAGCCAAGTGGAATACGGAAATGGKTGGAAATGTAATGGTACATTATTGGTACAGTGTTTACAGTTTCGTTTTGGGATAAAATTGATAGATTTTGACATATAAAATATGTTATTTTCCTTGAATGATGTATGTTACATTCAAGTAAATAATAGATTTCCTCTGTAAATATTGTATTTTGGAAGASAAAAATTCAGCAGATTTTTTGTTATTTTCAGCATGCAATAGCTCCTTATACAGGTATAGTTATTCCGCTACCATGTTTTTTGTCTCTTGAAAAAAAAAGTCAAATGAAGCAATGAAATTAAACAATCATGATCTGTACATTGTAAATTACAGTGTACTTCATTTGAATATCTTTTACTCTTCATATTGAATCTTTTGTATTTATAGTAAAAAAAAGTATGTACAATGTTGGGTATATTAAACATAAAAAATGCTGTACAATTAATATGTTTCATGTGATGATTGAAAAAAGAAGGAGATTGATTGAGATAAAATTCATATTCTCAAAATGGTCTATATGTCATATGTCTTACAATATTAATAAATCTCTTAGTTATATATTATTGCTTAGTGTTAGTCCCAAAATGGATGAATTATTACAGCCTGTATCAGTAACATTTAAAGTAAAATATGTCAAAACAATAAATAAATCAATTCTCTCTTTAAAATGATTTAGTGCATTATATGATATATCATAAATATTCATAATATTGTTGTATAATAGCTTTATTGCTTAGTCCTCTTGACAAATGAATTATTCATAGGTGTTACCAAATACTTTGCTGTCTAGTGGTGCTTAGTTTCTGAGTGGATTTATAATGTTTTTAACAGAAGGTGTYATGGTCTGGCTGCTGTAACTGTATTGGTGACAGATTGTAGGTTAAATATTMATTGCAGAATATTTTATTATATTTTAACTGATATTCTTATGCAGTAACTCCCAATGCTTCTTCCTATATCTTTTGTTCCCTGTCTTGAGTACTATAGCTGCTTTAGTTGCAGAAAGGTAGAAAAATATTAATATGATGAAATAAGGAGACTGTAAGGCAACRTTACAGTTCACATCCTGGATGCATTTTGACATTTAATGAAAAACCTGTCTATTTCAATTGGAAACAATAACAGTTGATGGCTGTTTAATTATGATTTTTGTTCTTTTGTTAGAGTTAATAGTTGTATTTTACAGACTCTGAGGCACTTTGAACACCTGTAGTAATGCAAAAAAAAAGAAGATAAATTAGCAAAAATACAACACTTAGCCTTAAGGTACAAACTTGTATTATCTAGACCTCTTGACAAATAGCTGTAATAAATAATAGATGAAAAAGAACAGATCAGGGTTATAATGTTTTGTACAGCAAAAGTGAATTTCTATGGACAAGGAAATTAAAAATAAACATTTAAAAAATGGAAATTATATAAATTGAATGGTATTGAATATACTTTMTAGCAAAATATATAATATAAGGAACTACTGTTTTATATCAAAATACTGACTATAGTGTTATTGCTAGCACAACTCAGCCTCAGAATAATTTAATTTTATTTCTGTCCTAGCTGTCCATAAAATYTATTCCTTTATCATATAGTTTTAGTATATTTTTATACGAATTGAATGTCCATGATTTAGATTAAATATATGATGGTACAATCAAATCAAATACAGTAACAAATCCCTGTACTTTGTCACCTTTCCATCCCACGTTGATGAAAAGACACTGTCTTATCAATAAAGTAAGTTATGCAATAAAAATGAAGCAATGTAATGATAAACAAAAAAACTACTTAATCTTATTGGCTAAAAGTATTGAATACACTGAACACACCAGTTATAAATGCAAATACATTCTTTTTTTTTTTTCACACTTCTTGAAGTTGGTCTCTTTTCTGATATCCTGTATCTGCTTGTAATAAAAAGCAATAAATCCATTAGCATTCTTCTCATCAGTAAGAAGTGTGCTAACAAAAAAAATGTCAAAATCTAGCATGTGTATCTAGCATGTACAGATAATGAATAACAATCGACTTTTTATTTTAGTTAATTTTAATTAAAATGGTTAAAACCATGTAAAAAAGAATAATGCAGTCAAGTCACTGGGGAAAAAATGGATGATAAAAAGTATTCCCTTATTTCTCCGGGAGACTTGTTTACAATTCTTTTTTGTCCATAATCACTGGAACAAAATATCTAAAKTCTCCTATTACCAAAGTATTATATTAACACTATCATATTTAAACTTGATGTGCACTTAAGGATTTTATTTTGGTCTTCAGCGAAAAAAATATACATTTTCTTTTTTTTTTATTTGATTAATTTGCACTTATCTGTTGTCAGAATTTAAAACTTTGTGATTGCCTGTCCTTATTTTTTGTATATATGCGAAGAAATTTGACATGTAATTAAACATTTTCTAAGTGCAAGTACACCATGACTTAGATATAAGAGATATGATGCACTTGTTAAGTTGTCCAAAACACTCTTGAATAACTAGATATTTATGTTTATCAATGTTGTCAATTGGCATGGTGTACCATAATGTGTGTAGCWCAGTATATAACTGTTTTCTCATTTATATTGTTGACTTGTTTGGATATGTATTAATGTGAGCACTGCAAGAATATGTCTTATTTGATGTCACTAGTACTTTGAAGCTATAATAATGAAAACTCTTTGCTCACTTTGTTTACCTTTTGATGCCTTAAGAGGTTTAAAGTAATGACTTTCTCAAGTTCCATCTTCAGATCTCAAAGATCTCTCCTGATCTCGCTGATAACAAARGAGCCTACAGATAACCACCTTGAAATATCCATACCATCTCTAGCTATTATATTATGTCATACATTAAAAGGTCTTTCTTGAAACTTGGACAATTGATATGTTGAATGTGAATAATATTTAAGTGTTTTGCTTTTGGAAGTCATTCAATTGAATATATTGAGTAGCAATAAGTYAACTGATAACTCTCCAATTAGATGCGACTAAAGTAAGTTTTACACATTAAAAGATTCATTTCTACTAAAGTCATATACCATGCTAGTTCAGATCTATTGACTATTTTCACCTCCTATTTTTCTAAAGCTGTTTGTTGTATTTTCTGAATTGTGATTATGTTCACTCATTTCCTGAATTAATACAGACACATACAAYACATAAATCTCTAGTTGATCTGACTATATCTACTGTCTTTTTCTATGGGTAAATGCTGTCTGTCATTGAGAAATAACMACCAAATTTCTCAACTCCTGTTTGAGTTTCTTGCTTCCATTTTTCTTTCTTTATATCCCATTTCCCTTTCATTTCATCTTTCCCCATCTTCCTTTCATTCTCTATCAAATTGTTTAGTTGATAAAACTCCTGACCTCGTGTGTGGTATCTATATCATTATGCAATATTGTCAATTTATAAAATTAAGTCAATAGCCGACTTGCGAATTACGCATCAATAGTCACATACAAAGGAATCAAGACGAGGCGCTGTGCTAAAGACAATAGATTTTTCACAAAAAAGCACAGCGCCTCGTCTTGATTCCTTTGTATGTGACTATTGATGCGTAATTCGCAAGTCGGCTATTACACTATAGAGTGCAAGAAAAACTAGMAAACAATGTACTTTGTCTATTTGCATTATTTCACAAGAAGTGATAACTAGAGAATAGCACTGGGATGGAACAATGCTAAGAACAGAAATAAAACGTATTGGTTGAAAAGGTTTTACTGTTTGTGTCAGTCCTGTACTTTTGAAAGTACAGGAAGATGATACTATATAGTCTATAATGTAGCCTTCAGGGTGGCTGCTTTTATACAATACTTACTAAATAAAAGTGTTTACCAACTRTCAAGTGCTATACTTATTCACTGGTACCCCCAGGACTGGCATTATTCATCTATACTTTTGTAATTCATCAAATATGAAATATCAGAATCATTTGTTAGACACCTAAGTGCAAAAGACACAAATGTTCAATTTCAGATAACGTAGTTGCAATTGGGTGTACAAACATATCATACTAATATTCCTGTACGACATTCGTAATGTCCTTACAAGTACACTTTATATCTGCCAATCTTCAGAAATAATGTTGATTTGGTAAATGTATTAAAATGCATTTTGTGAGTTGTGTTCAGTGTCGGTTTRAAACCTATCAGTAAATCACCTTTCTTTCAATCAGCGAACTGAATTTGAAAGTAAATTCTAACACAATTAAAAAAGAAGTTATTAACTATATTTTTCCCAAAGCTTTCATAACGTCTGGTATGGGTTATGCCTTAGTCACTATTTCAATATTATGTACCTGAATATTGTGACTAGTATAAGATTTTTGCTCAGCTCTCGCAACAGCAATATTATTAATCACACTGTGTACACTGTAGGTCAATAGTATATGGTGGAAAAACAATATTTAACCAACCATGTTTTGTCTGAAACAAAATTAATGCATTATATGGGTGCGCCTAATAGGGGRTGCAGACAAAAATATAAACAGATCAATGCTTCATACTACCAACTTGAATTTAAAGTGGCTTATAAATTAAAAACTGACTTTATCATTAATTATTGAAAAACATTCCTAGGAAACATTACAGCAGACGTCAGGAAGTGTTTTGGAAAAAATTGCAAKTGACTGCTTTTGTGAAAACAAGTAGTTGAGAGTAGCCATTGAATTCATCAAAAAGATTGAAATGCAATTAGATAAAGACTGTGAAACTTTGTCCTTATCAGGGTATATCAAAACACTCCTATTCATGCTGAGCAGTCTGTTTTTGGTAAAAATAATTCACATTGWAATGTGTGGGGGATATAAAATATTGATTTTTAATTAAAAAAAAACATTTTTTGCAGATCACAACATACCTAGGCAAAAGGGATTTCATTGACCACATAGATCACATTGATCCTATAGGTTTGTATTTGACCTGTATCAGGCTACTAGTAAGACAGAAAAGTAAACCTCGTGGCTAGGTCCGCCATGATTTATTGTGCCAAAACCAAAACACTACCGCGGGGCAGCATGGGAATTACACAGGGGGCCCAATACACAACAGTATTGATGATTATATCATGTCCTCAACTTAATATGAAAAAACAAGAATACTGTTATAAGCATTTGTCAATTAAAGTATACCATGAAAAAGGAGCGAAATCTTACAGACATTTTGTGTGCTAATCCTACGGAGACAAAGGGAGATTAGAGGCAAAAGGAGTAAAACAAACAACTCTATTTGATGAAATTTACCAAGAAAAATATATTATGAAATTGTAATATAAGCACAAAGGTATGAGTGAAGCAAGAACCAGGTTCATTATTAGGAGGATGTTAAGAACCCTCTCAACGTAGAAGAGATTTTTAGATTAATCATCACTTTGAGGAACTCATCTTATACACTGTATTATATCAAGTTATATGATAATCCCYTTAACTTGTTTCCTGCAGATGGTGTGGTATTAGTAGACCCAGAATATGTTAAAGACGAGAAAAAAGGTAACTTTAATTACTATTAGAAGCCATATATTAATATCATTATTAATGACTGATCAAACTTGAGCTTCATGTCAGACATTTGTCTCAGGTGCCATTATTGTTTTCCCATATTGGCTCTGTGATAAATGGATAAAGTCTGTATTATGATGATATATTGGGTTATAGCTGTAATGTTTTGCAACATAAGAAATTTTTAGTAATCCTGGATAGTTGTTTATGATGTTCAAATTCAAATTCCAATACTTATAGGCTATTTCATTGATAGCATGGCTAACTAATAAGCCATTTCATAGAGAGTATGGCTAACTAATAAGCCATTTCATAGATAGTATGGCTGTTAAAATGGAGCAGTTAGTGAAAAAATATTGCCCCCACTTAAACAAATGGCCAAAAATTAGTGAACTTACCAAGTTTGTGAATAATCTGAAAAGCCAAGAAGATGTGGCAATTCAAAAAATTCAAAAGCACCAAGAAATGTCTGGTACTTGGTTGTTATCACTCAGCGTCTCCATACATTTCTTTGTAAAACTTGTGAATTAGGAGAATCTTTGTCTCCTTGAATTTTCAACTGATCATTCTTAGAATGAACTTTTTAGATTTACTGATTTTAAGCCGGTCTTTTCACTAACTGCCTAATTCAAAATGGCTACATTATATCTGAGGTACAATAATCTTTTCACGAACTTCTTAATCTAAAATGGCTAAGTTATCTGTGAAGTAGAATAATGAAATTGATAGGCTTGAACTGTGTTCTACAAATTTATTGATTGTATTGTAACTATTCTGTGTCCTTTTTAGTTTATGCCCATGTTCTAGCAGCATTTAGGTAAGAGATAATATGACAAACATAGATTGATGTAAAATAGAGATATCAATGTGTTATATGGTTCTGACACTTTATTTTTCTAAATCATCAGATATGGCCGAGAAGACCTGGATGTTCTTGGACTTACATTCCGAAAAGATTTGTTTTTGGTATTAAAACATTTATRCTGCTAATGAGAWTTTCTKAAGTCATAATACACRCACACAAACAAAGCAAAGCATAACAAARTTCTTTGCACATTGCTCATAGAATAGAACAACTGTCAACTGTAGGGTTTCAAGTTTATCAAGCTTGATATATAATGTAATATGGCATTTAATGTTTGATATTAAAATGCTCTTTCTTTCAGGCTACAGTCCAAGTCTATCCACCAAAGCCTGAAGACAARAAACCAATGACAAGACTTCAAGAGCGTCTTCTAAAGAAACTTGGTGCTAATGCTTATCCATTCAAATTTGAGGTAATTATTGTCAGTATTATTAAGATATAAGATAGATTCAAAATTCTGTACAGAGTCGCACACTTACATGGGATTTATAATGCCTTTTAAAATGGAGAAGCAGAGCAAARGTCCTTGTTGGCCAAATTATTGTTTAATATTTTTGAAGCTCTGTAAATAAAAGTTYTCTGACAGTGTTGTACTAAAGAGAATGTCYAGAATATCTGCACAGCTTCAAGTGCAACACTTGTGCATTTCTGAATGTTGACATAGTTTGTTGTACTCATATTGATATAGCAATTTATTAAATTTTTGTGATACATTATAATGCGCACTCTGATTGGCTGATGATTGTGTTTATATCAGAGGACAGAGACACAGCTTACTKGTAAAAWTTTTTCGCTACACTTGTGTTTCTAAGCTTGCTTCTCTCATGTTTTCAACTCCCACCATGTTTAAATCAGAGGGYAGAGAKATGTCCACCATTTTATATTTTTTAAGCATAGCCCAAGGARAGATTCCAAAATGRYATATSCTGTCAAAACATTATAAATGAATGTAAATTCTTTTAAATTTTCTTCACAGCTTCCACCAGGCTCACCCTCCTCTGTAACTTTACAACCAGCTCCTGGTGACACTGGGAAGGTAAAACTCTCTATTTTAAAACACACTCTTTTGTTTTTATTCCCAACAAATTTTGTATTTTCTTTTTCACAGCCTTGCGGTGTTGACTATGAGCTAAAAACATTTGTTGCAGAATCTTCTGAAGAAAAACCACATAAAAGGTAGAGTTCTTATTTCATAAAAGATGTGTTTTCCCRTTTTATTTTTCCATTCATTTTTGTTTTTAGGGACACCGTTCGTCTTGCTATAAGAAAACTSACATACGCACCTGAAAGACCACAGCCTCAGGTCAGTTCTAAACAAGTTTACATATATTAGTAATATTATATAGAATTAATTGTATTGATTGTGACCTTGTTTCATCAGCCCTTTGCTGAAGCAGAGAAAGATTTCATGATGAGTTCATATCCTCTCCATGTTGAGGCAAGCTTGGATAAAGGAGTAAGTTTATTTTTGTTCTAAGTTACTAAGTCCTTTCTTTTCATCAAGGGCCACAAGTTCATCAGTTCTTTACTGTCACGTGTTACCCTCGTAAAATAAAGTCGATTTATTTATTTATTTATTTATCAATTTTATGCTATTTCTTCTCAACATATTTATTTATTTATTTTTCTTCATCCAACCATTAATGCCTTCAATTTYTCCCTTCTCTTTGTTTCCCCATATAATTATTTAGTCACTGTCATTTTTTTCCCTTCATCTCATTCGTTGTTGGGCTTCCTGTCTCCTTTACTGACCCAGGAAGCCCAACATAAGGAAGAGCTGGGAAGGAGACTACTAAAAATAATAGAAGCAGTCCTGGAGATCACTGCMTGGAGTGYTATAATTATTAATTAACAATATGTAATTTYAGTAATGTTTACAACATGAGCGGCCGTGTTGTATRGGATTTTACAATCTCGTAAAATCTCCACTAACAATCWCAATACAACACGGACTCRAATGTTGTAAATTACTTGTGAAACATTTAGGTGTATACATTCATAATCTACTAAAAACTTAAAGATAAAATTGAATTTGGCTGAGAAAACTAGATTTGAAGTTTATGCAAATCAAGGCAGTTTTGTATCAAATATTACAACACTTTTCATGGTTGTGATTTCTATTGTGTTTTCCTCATTAATTATTCATGAGTTTTACAATTACTATTGTAATTATTATACTCTGTATGTAATTTCAGTTATACTATCATGGGGAAACAATAGCTGTTAATATACATTTGTCCAATCGCTCATCCAAAACGTGCAAGAAAGTTAAAATAACAGGTATAGTAATGGCAATGTTGATGATGACTTAGACTATGATTGAATATTGTCATGATTAGCAATTATAATAGCAATTAGCAGCAGTAGTAGTGTTTGAAAATATAGCTGCAGTTTCCCAGTAATTATAGTAATTGTGATAATTATTGAATTGTGGTTATTCTTCTCTCTATTACCCGGGGGGTGGTACTCCCCTATATTCGCTATACGGGGACGTGCCGCCAACCAGGGTATCGTTTTCAGTGATTTTACTCTAGAACTGGGTATCATTTGTAGCGATTGTACTCTGGAACAGGGTATCGATTTCAACGAATTTTCTCTGGAACAGGATCAGGGTTGAATTCCRGAATTTTTGATGCTGGATAAAAATTCATGGGGTAAAAATTCGGTTTACACGMAAGCTAGTGCAGGATTTTACTCCCCCCGGGCTCTATTAAGACAATTGTCATAAATAATGTATACGACCGTGTAACTGTTTCAAAAATTATCTAATGCAGAATGATGTGCTTTTTCAGTACGACAGTTTGCAGATATTTGCCTGTTCTCAACAGCTCAGTATAAATGTCCTGTAGCTGTGTTGGAATCAGAGTAAGTTGTTACAGCTGTTTACATACTTTTACAATGCAGATCCTTCCCTGTACAATGTTTATTATGTTTTGTTATCCCTTGTATTTCTTTCATAGCATGTTGATTATGGTGATACGCTGTTGCTTAGCCATTCAAATATAGTTTCCTTTTGCCAGTCTAAAATAGTTTATTATTGGTTTTTCATTAGGGATGGTTTTCCAGTAGGTCAAAGTGGAACTCTTTCTAAAGTCTACTGCCTTACACCACTGCTAGATGACAACAGAGTAAGAGAATGTTATTCTACAATACTCTCTTAGAAGTTTGTAATACAGTATTATTTCTTTGTAGGATAAACGAGGACTTGCTCTTGATGGCAAACTTAAACATGAAGATACAAACTTGGCTTCATCWACAACGTAAGTGCAAAGAATGTTGCATACCAAATTTTCAATTTGAAATATTGTTGTATGTTGATGTCTCAGATTGGATCCTAACATACCTAAGGAGAATCTTGGAATCATTGTACAATACAAAGTCAAAGTTAGAATTATAGTGGCATATGGRGGGTAAGTACATGACTGTAGCTAAAATCCTTTTTCTAGAAAAAAAAATTCTCTCCCTTTTATTGTGATTACCTGATATGGTACCCAGGATGTGCCTTGCATGACAAATTATTTATCATCCTAATTCCATCACCTTCCATTCACAAGCGCTGACTTTATTGATAATTATTATTTATTGGAACTGCAGTATCAGGTTGCTAAACCAGATGATTATAAGYCTTACATTATTRGGGTGTGTTTAATTTGTAGGGATTTGACTGTTGAATTGCCATTTATGCTGACCCATCCCAAGCCTCTTGAGGAGCCTACACCTCCACCAACTCCAGCCAAACCTCCTAGTGCTCCTGGTATGTATAGTAACTAACAATCCCAAGTCAAATTAAATACAACTCATTGTGTTCAAAACAGCAAGTCATCAGATTAATGTAACTCATTGTAGTGATTTTCTCCTCAAATTCTCTTCTGAATGATTGAGACTCAGGGCTTTATTGTAGACTGCAATATCACTATTTTGTAAGTCCCAAAATATGTATAAAATCTTATTATTCTCTTAAMTTTTTCCTTGTTTAAAGTTGATGGGGAGGCAAACCCAGAGGCACCAGTAGCTGTGGATCACAACTTGATCGACTTTGATACAGAGTAAGTACATGAGTATAATTCTTGTTCATTTATTTTGAATAATTGTGTTATTTCTCTCTCATTGTTTACRTTTGCCAAAATTTAGTGCATYTAGTGTGCTTCTAGGAACAACAATTTCAAAAAAAAAAAGTTTGGGTTGCTGACCTATTTGCACTATTTTGTGCCCCCTACTATAAAATACCATTGCTACCTTTCTGTAACAAATTAGTAACAAGTTTTATTGTAAACATAATTTCAGTGGTCCAGAGCGACATAGTGATGATCATGATGATCTGATATTTGAAGACTTTGCAAGACTGCGACTAAAGGGGACTGACCTTACTGAAACAGCAGACGCCTAATGTCAGATGCACTTCAATTATTGCCACTGCTGGCCCTGCTCACCCACCCATATCCAATTTAAAGCATCAAACAGCTTACTTCAATAGTAGTTAGCCATCCGCTAACTATAAAATAGTCAATTTTTAATTATTTTACATTTAAAGGTGAATTTATAGGTATAGCAAGGGATGTTGCATTATTCTCTAAAATGTTGTCATCCAATTTAGAGACATCATGCATGGTTCTTGAAAGGTATAATTTGTTGATAGTTTGTGAAAAATGTTTACACCAGAACTGRGGTCTGTTTGATTAATGCTAAGCCTCACTCTGAAGACCAGACCAAGGGGATTATTCTACATTAATTTCTTCAATGACGTTTTTTTTTTCTATTTTACTTCATAGCATGAGCAATAACTCTATCAATGTTATTTTTCTCTTAACATTAYTATTATTATTAATATTATTTGTAGTCAATATGCTTGATGGAATATTTTACTACAACTACTTTGAGAGCTTTGCCTACTTTATCGTGCAAAGGAGTAGTCCCCAGTCTTTTTTTTTTGCTCTAATGAAGTGCAAGTATGAATATTATAAGTCTGAAACTACTCATAAGATTCCAGTAGTTAAAGTCAAATACCATCATGCAAAATGTYCTTCTAGACTATTGGAATTACAGTATGTTTATCTTCAATTGTCATATTATAATACTTTTCTGTCGACGAAAGAGTATACAGGTTTTTATTCTCAAGTTTCTTTAGAAGCAATGTTTATAGGCCATGCCTTATTTTGCGGGTTAATTTTGTCTTAATTGGGAATTGTATTTATTGTCATGTTTTGTTGAACTATGAATTCTGTTGGACTATCATCTGTGAAAAAATACATAATGCTTGAAACTGGATTGTTTGAAGGCTGATTAGCTTTATTCTAAGGTTAACTCCAAATGTTTTTGATGAGTTCAAACTCCATCTGGTTTGTTTTCTCCATAGGTTTTATAAGTGACCTAGGATTAGGACTAATTGTGGAACTGGGACCAGTATAATATAATAACTACTATAATAATGTTTCAGTCATAATTATGAGTGTTTATTGCCATATCATATGAAGATTTTACCCTGTTTCACTCTTACAATAATTATGGGATTAAAAAGAAAAAGATCCCAAATCAAATCATTAGTGTGGTTTTATGTTCTTATGAAATGTTTTGCCAATGAAATAATGATATCCTATTGTTTTAGTTGCCCCCTATGCAGGTGAAAGTGTCATCGTTTAAGCAACTATGACATATCCAAACAWTGTATTGACAACTGTCGATCATATGTATTGTAATTAAGAACCTGTACAAATAAAAATAATATTCATAAGGGGTCAGTTGTGCAAATGGTGAATAAAATAATCCACTTCATAAAATTATTCACTCCATACTTAGGCTTTGTATGGACTTTATCCACTGGATAGGAATTTATCCAAGGGATAGCACTGTTCATCATACAACTGGCCCTAGAGTCCTCTCTGACCTTGATTTAGCCTTAGCCAACATAACTTTCCTTAAGCTCCTCAGTTCTTCCACATTCGGATGGCTGAAGAGTGTAAACTAAAAATGTCAATAATATATATGAATTGTACCAATATYCTAGTAATAATATTGTTATTTTGATATTAGTTCTGTAAATCACTGTCTGCAAAGAATATACATAATGAATAAAAGATATACTGAAAACTGTAATTTGGTAGGTACATGATCATAATTTTTTTCCAGAAATTTATGATATATGGAAATTCTACATATTAATGTAACGTAGCGCACAATCATATTATTCCTCTCGTCTATATTTCATTACCACAAGACGCTCTGAGGGCGCTTACTTGGATATCCGAGGTGCTATTGGCTATAATGCGCTTTTTGTTTGTTCTAATTGCTATCKAAGAAAATTAAAACGGCTGCGCTTCACTTTCCTCTTATGATTGACTTKATGGGAGGTTGAATATCGGTTTTAAACAATTGAGAAGTAACCTAGAAAAAAAACGAGCAAATTTCAGCGCAGTAACGGTAGAGTTTCTTGCGCACAAATTCATTTAGTTTTAAACCGGGTATGCATAAAGATAGATAAGCGGACCTTCAGATTCCCTCGGGGGTGCACGTGCACCCAGTGCACTCCCCTAGGTTATGGGCCTGAAATGCCGCGCCCTTCCTTCTTTAAAATAGAGTCAGCTGTTCCTGGCAAACGTTTTTAAGGTCAAAGAGGCTTATAAAACGTTTTTATGGTCAAAAACGGCTTGTCTCTTTTTAGATAGGAAATTTTGCTATTTTCCTGGCAAAAATTCTTAGAAAGTGTTCCTTGCACGGATAGCTCTTTTTTCCTGAATTTCTCACTGGCAACCAGTTGCGACTTACAGCTAGCTGGGACATAATAAAGAACAGACAATTTCTCCCAGGAATCGTCGGCTTCTTCTACTATGTTATAGCTTTTGCTAGCTTTTCTAAGAGCGAGAATTTTATTTCAAAACCAAGAACCGTGGAATAGAATGATCAGTATATACAGGACTTAAGCGCAATCATGCTGTATAAATTATTCAGGATTTTTGAGAAATATATATTACCTAAACGTAGAAATCAGCCTTGGACTGATTCGAGACGAAATTCACACTCAAACGATATTTTGTTGCTTTCACAAATTTTATGAACTGCTGATATAAAGGGAAAAAAAAGAAGAAAAATAATAATAAAAAGAACGACCGGAATGGGACTCGAACCCTTGACAAAAACATTCGAAAAAKTTTGGGACGATTCCCCCGAGACATTCTGTGAAGCTGAGGCGTCGAATCGATTTACATTCCGGTTAGAGATTTCGGCTCTTCCATGCTATCCCGATAATTGGTCCTAACTTCGCGCTAACTAAAAAGCCAGTGAGGGAGARGCTATCCGGCCCCTAGACACTGATGGATAACCCCTTGCACTAACTAGGCAACTATCGAAAGTATAATGTCAAATTGGGGTAGTCTATTCGGTGAAASTGCCAAGTGGTCTATTATTATGTAAATGAGCGTGGTCYAGTGGCTCAAACGGTTAAGGCGCTGTCAGTTCAATCCAAAGGACCCGTCATCAAACGGGATCGAATTCAGCTTCAGCCTTATCATGTTATCAGAGTATTAGTTTTTTTCCTTTTTTCAGCTCTGATTATCACCTTCATTATTTTTGTGTTGATTCTAATACAATTTTGCAAAAAAAAGTAAAGTAAAGAAAAAAAATAATACAGAAAACTTCAGTACATGCGTGGGCTCCCTGTGGGTACGTATTGGGATCCCTGTGTGCACTACAGCTATGGCGGCTGAAGAGAGGAAGATTGGATGAAGYTMTTACTTGTCTTGTAGACTAGAAATGGATGTTTTACGCCCTCCTGTTGTCTGGATAAATGGTCGATGTTACAGAAAACTACCCTTTGAAAGGAACAGCAATTTTGATTCCACTCCTGATCCATATCAAGAACAAGGTAAGATTATTAACTTAACTTAACTTAAACAACAGCCAACTTTGAATATGATTTTTTAATTAAGCTTACTTTAATAAAGGTTTAAATTAAAATTCCATTGCATTTTCGATGCATGTTTTCTATTTTGATTACCTTGAATTCGGATATTGTTAATTCAATCAAGTATTCATTTCTGTGTTGTTTATGTCGGTAGTCAAAGTGTTTTTGTGTAATTATTTGTTTCCCCTCTATTTGTTTATTATTTGTTTGTTTCTCTTCTTATGCTTGATGCTCTTTTAGTATTCAAACTATGGTCTATCTTTCGATCTTGTGGACTACTTTCTACTAGTGGTCCAATTGACATCTTGTATAATTCTTAAAGCTTTTTTAAAATATTTGAAAGTATTCATTCATTTCCTTCAATGTCTTTTTCAAATCGTTTTCTAGAAGACATGATGTATGAAGATGAWGTTTGTGATGGTTTGATTGAAGAAAACAGCAAAGGCTTCAGGACTGTTCTAGATGATATTCCCCGCATATTGTACAAGTTTGTCATAGGACGAGGTGGTGAAACTAAGAGAAGAATAGAAGATGATACAGATACTCGCATTTCTATACCTGCACAAGGACAACMAGGCAATATAGGTAAATGATATCATGGTTTGAGCAATGATAATGATAAATGATTTTAATAATTATTATGATTTACTTATTTTCCTATTTTTATAGTAATAACAGGTCCCCATAAAGCTGGAGTTCTGTCTGCAAGGAGTCGAGTCGTTGTTATAGCAGAATCATCAAGACAAAAGATCCCCTTCACACATTTTGTGTCTTTTCCTTTGTACTTTGATGAACTTRCTGAATCCACTGCAGAATTCAAAGAAACCGCTCTTAAAGAATTTGGACAGGTAGAAAATCTATGCTTATTGAAGTCATGTACATGACTGACACTTCTCTCTCACTGTCCCTACATTGGCTTTTCAACACATTACTATCTATATGCAATGAAAACTTGAATACTTGRTGGCAGAGCTCTGTAATCTTATATGGATTGCAAGAGCAGAAAACTAAGAAAAGAAAAAAAAAACAAAAGTCAGTTCTTCCTAGCTGCATATTCACAGCGACAAGAGACAAAAAAATACTTTATTCATGTCAGTGACATGTATTATTGTTTAATGATGTCAACTGATTTTTTTCAGCACAAAGGAATTCATCCTAGTATATTTCAAAAACCATGCCATCTTCAYCTTACAGTTGGAATGCTTAGGCTTCTTGATGACAGTGAAGTGGTTAGTTTGCACACATAGTGCATTATTTYGTCTYAGCAGCAATATCAATCTCTAATTCTTATATGTTATTCCTTTTGTTTTAAGAAAAAGGCAGCAGAATTTTTGCAAAGCTGTTACAAGAAACTTACTAGGTAAAAAAGGAAGCTATTTGAGATATGGATATTATGGAGAATGACATGTATTTTCATGACACAGYATACAGCATGAATGGCAAATGGTTATAACAACAGCCATTCAACCAGGACAATTCTAAATGCTTAATAGTCATTTTGTATATCATTTAATTTTTGTTGTGTATTGTAGGGATTGTTTATCTGGAAAACCCATCTCTGTACAAMTAAAAGGAGTCGAATACATGAATGATGATCCTTCCAATGTCCATATTTTGTATGCAAAGATAATTGAAASTGATGGCACTGAAAGGTATTTTCACWTGATATAACAATWAYAG